GATCCGGTACTTAAAGCCAACGATTTCTATCACGATGCAAAGGTGCTTTAACTCTATATAAACAAGGAGTGATACAAACAAAATAAGAGATTCTAGACAAGCAGAAGGGTTTTGGCGGGAAGATCAAAGGATTGGAGAGATATGGAATAGAGAGGGATGGAGGGAGTGACCAGCTCCTTTCCCTGCCCTGTCCCTCTGTCCCCAAGCACCCCATTCAGGGGAATGAGGAGCAATCAGAGATCAAGAAAAGCCAAGAGATCCCAGAAATAAACAGAAAGAGATAGGTCAAATCTCTTACAGAAAGAGAAAGATAGGGACGGCGAATCTCTTTCTCATTTCTTTCTTTCACCTACGACCATTTATTCAAATGTTTGAGACGTAAATCGATCTCGTTTTCTTTTTGACTTTTATTTTTTGATGGAGACTTTGCTAGATTACTGGATATTAGATAATTTTGTACTCTATTTACTGTAAAGCCTCAATTTCACTGTCCCACAGTAACAGCACATTCGATTTCATAGATAATTAAACAATTTTTGTGCAAAAATACTGTAAAACACAATGACGATCTATTTTTGCAATTTGAAAGTTTTTTTTCAAGCATTATTTACAATTTCTGTTGTTAAATGTTCAAAAAAAAGATTCGAGCATTGCAGAGAAGTCGAAGTAAGAATTCCTTCTTTGGCGTCAGACTGACAAGAAGTCTGGAAGCTGAAGCTGAGCGTCAGACTGACACACAGCGGATAAGGGAAAGAAATGAACTCTGACATTTCAGCAAGCAAGACAAAATGCAAACGGTCAAGCTCACAAGGGAAAACCACTCATAAGGAAATCGAGAAATCCTTTTTTTACAAGAAAATCGTTCGCTAATGTCCGTCCGTCCGTCCACAAAAGTAATTAGATTTTTGGAATGTACATGAAATTTTGAATCTAATAGTTAGATTTAGACCGATTAGTTCAGTGATTTTGTTGAATAGAATAGAGAGAGAAGCTGAATAGAGACATACACACGCTTTTGCTTGTAATAAATAGGATACATGTGTGTAATTCTTTGTATAATGCCTTTTCCTATCCTGTTATACAACTAAATTCTAGGTTTTCCCTTTCCACAAAACGCTAATCCGTCAATTTTCACTCCAGAAGAGCGAATCTTGAAGCTAATCTTGATTTACTTGAACTATTTACTTCAAATAAACAATTTCATAAGCTAATTTTTGTTCTTTCATTGTCTTCTCCAATTAGTTTAGGCATAAATATAAACCCAATCTTTCTAGTGCAATTTCTAGTTCAATTTTCTTCAATTTTCACTTCCTCAAATCAACTCTGACATCTCTCAAATCAACTCTGACACAGACAATATGCTAGTGTGCCAGAAAGGCTGTGTTTCCACAAAACAAACACAAAGCTAATCTCTAGACTTGTTCTCTAGACTGTATCATTAATTTCTTGTAAATCTATTCAAAGCCTAGCCTATTTTCACACACTTATCGGTCAAATCGGCTTTCAAATACCCTTCCCCCCCCATTCACGGGCCATTTCTTTGCTTCTTGCGCTTTGTGTATTTGTGTGTGGGGGCTGGCTCGTAAGTGATGCATAGCCTCCCCATTCTCCCCTTTTATTCTCTAATGCGCTTTACAACCACACACTCCTACAATAAACCACTGACCACAAGAACAGCGGTTTATTTCGAAATTTTCAACTCTAATTGCACCAATCGTTCTTTCACTTTGTTTTTGAATGGAAATGATGTCTTTTCCATGTCTCTATGTGGTGTTAAACCATTTTTGTGTGACAATGATGCCTTTGCCATGTCTCGATTTGATTTTAAACCATTTTGTGTGGCAATGATACCTTTTCCATGTCTAAATGTGATGTTAAACCATTTTGTGTGGAAATGACGCCTTTTCCATGTCTCAATGTGATGTTAAACCATATTTTCCACACTTTATCGATTGTTGTTCATTTGTGTTTAATCGTTTACATTATTTTCTTTGTTTTTTGTTAAAGACTTAGGCTTAGATGATAAATTGTGATACATAGCATAAGAGCTATGAGTGTTTTCTATGAGTTTTCTATGAGTTTACTATATTTACTAAGCTATGAGTGATAAAAGGTTTACAAAAAGAAAAAAAACAGAAAGAAAAAAATGAGCGGATTCGAACCCTCCAGCAATCACCTCTTATGCTAGCCTACTATCCACTAAACCACCGAGCCATTGTCATCCGGTGTGCGGGTAAGCCTTATAAAGAAAGCCAAAAACCTGTCTTTCCTTTTTTTTGCTTTTTAAGAAAATGTTTATTTGTAAATCATCCATCCTGCTGTTTTCTTCAAACTTTAACCAAATTATTTCCCTTTTTCAATTTTCTTTCACTTCTCAACTTGTCATTTTGATTTTTGAGCGGATTTCCACCCAATTTGAAGTGGTTAGATGGATGAGAATTGGAGAAAAGGGGCAAAGGGAAAGGCCAGCTGCAAGCACTTCTTGTTAGTGACACGTTTCTCTCAGCTTTCGAGTAAAGGACAAATCCCCGAAAACGAACGCAATTCACCAAAAATTTGCTTTCGACTCCTCCTTTGATTGCAGAATTGCCTCTCTAAGCAACCTGTTACTCGTTTGCGCATGCATGAACTCTAAGTTAGTCAGAAGTTTGAAGTTACACTACTGGACAATGAAATATGATATTTGAAAAATAGCTTTCATTTCTGACTTGTTGGACTTGTTGTGGACCAGATAAAAGCCAAAATAGCCTTTTAAACACCTTGTCCTTAGCAATCCACGTTTATTTCAAGTTCTACAAGTTCGTACGTTGAATATTGTTGAATAGTATTAAGCACAACTTCAAAACTAGGCTCTCAATAAAGCATCAAGTCATAATCGGGGTTGGATGGTTGTCATGTAGTGGATTTATAGTCATCGCAGGGAAAGAGAAATTGATGCATAATTATCCACCCGGGAATCGTCCCTCCAGGCTACTCCTGTCCCCTTTCCTCCTCCAAACAGAAAACCCCATCTATTTCCCTATATGGCTCCCAGGAATTGAGGGGAAATGGGTCTCTTCCTGAAAGTCATCGATTACATTTCGAGACTCTCTTCTTTTAGACTCTTTCAGCTTTCAGCTTTTCAAGCTGAGATTCCAGACACTTTAAAAGCCGAAAAGTCGTCAATCACCAGATTGACCACTCTTTTAAAGCCTTTTAAACTTTATATTTCCTCTACTAATACTTTAATTTCCTCTACTAATACTTTAACATCAACTTTAACGTCTTGTAATTGAGAAACTTCATCCAGAAATTCGATCCAGACCAGTAAAGCTAGAACAGTTAAGGCCAAGACCTGACTTCTAGCCTCCTCTGGCCCCAAAAATGCTGTTGAAGCAATCCCACTTTAACTCTAGCTGATTTAGTTGATCTTTAGCTGATTTCAATGATCAAAAAATAACCTTTCTTATGTACAATCTTATGTACAATCTTATGTACAATCTTTTTGTTTTCTAACACCAAATTTTCTTTGTCATTGCACTTCTTTTTCCAAACAATTTGTGAATAATTGTCTCTCCTTTGCTTGAGTTTTCCCAATGGCTAAACACATCTGGTCCTTGTCCTTGCGGGGGATTGACAGAAGGATCATTTATCGGCTCTTCTCAATCAATACTCCAAAGGACACATAATTCCTTGAGCAGATGACTTTTGAATCTTTGTCTCACATTTTTTTCTAACTTTTTGATCATTTTCGAATCATTTTCTGAGCATTTTCTTTTTTTCTCTTTATTTACAAGGACTTTATTGACTTTAAAACAATTTTGATGCAAATTTTGTTATTCTATTGAATGCGGAAAGCTCTTAGAAATTTTGGTTGACTTAGGTGGTATAAACTTTGACTTATTAACCTATTAATCTAGCTATTAACTTATGAACTTTACTCAAGAAAATCATCGATAAAATTTCGAGTTCAGACAGAATCATAAAAAGAAAACTCACAAAAATTTGTCATATTTTGCAATGAGTAAATAAGATCATTATGGTGACGTTGTTTTACAACCGTTTGACCGTCTCTTGATTAGCCGATATCCATCATTGATCGATCGTAGGATTTCAATCGGCATCCTTTGAGGTTGCGTAACTCGTTTAACCGGTAGATGCGGCTCCTTTCCTTCACACAATCATTTGTTTATCATAGTCGACTCTTTTTCTTACATGAACTTTACTTCTTGTCAGCTTATTTGCCTAAAAGTCAAAGGTGTTTAAGGATTTTTGCTCAAAATCGCGCTCAAATGCTCAAAATTTGATCATTAATTCTTTGTTAACAAGAATGTTTTTAACCAGGCCTAAAAGCCAAGCAATGCCAAGCCAGACTGGGCCAGAGTCCGACTAGCTTTTGATGGTTTTCTTGTAAATTCCGGACTTCTTGTGGTTTTGCAGCAAAGCCTGGCATGGAGCGATTGCTTTTAAAACTTTTAAAACACTTTTACTTTTAAAAAACAAACTTTTAAAACAAAACAAAACAATTAAACAGATCTACTGCATAAGTTTGATCTAGCGGTTGTACTGTTCATACTATTGTATTGTAATTGCCTAAATTTGCGGCACATCTACTTCATAAACTTGATCTACAGCCAATTGACTCAATTGTCCTGTCTTGGTTCCTACCTACAGCTTCCAATCGGCGCTGTTACATCACCGACCCAACCCTCCCCAGGGCTCTACCCACTTCAATCAATTCCCCTCCTTTCTTCCCCACATTCATTCGTTCATCATGGCCTACCCATCTTCTTTTCTTTTCTTTTTACCCATCTAAGTCCTCTCTTCATCTCTCTTTTCCATATGAGTTGGGTATGATGACCCGATCTCCTCCACCCATTCCTCCCCTTCATTTCTCCTTTATGACCACCGCCTCTTTCTTCCCCTTTCGACATTTGTTAGCTTTGGCAACACTCTTGCAAAACAACACATGCAAATGTCATTGATTTTTTAACTCCAAAGTTCTAGATTCATTTTATGGAATGTCGGTGATTTGCGAGCGAACAGCGAGGTCCAAGTTTGGGCCTGGAAGTTATGGCCCGGGAAGGGAAAGCGGACGATTATCGAGGTAATCAATTCTAGATTTATACGTCTTTATACAGCAATTAAAAGTTTTGAGGGGAAAGTAGAATCAATATTGAGATAAACTTGTACACATTTTCAAGTTTTCCATTTAAAACTTTCCAATTTCAGTCGAGGTCCGCGCCAAATGAAGCGCTATGCGCACAGCGAGATCGGCGAGCCCCTTTTCATTCCGCATTTTATGGCGATCGCGTCCGAGGTTTGTATGTGCTGAAATTGGGGTTATTACATGAGAAATTCAAATTGATATTGATAGGCTCAAAAAAAACTAAAGCTTAAACCAAGTATAAATTTAAAGTTTTGATTTGGAAGTTTCAAGAACTCGATTCACCAAAACTCATTCAGCTTTAGTCTTTCGAGAAGTGTAGATCTAATTGTTTTTACTTTAAATATTCATTTAGAAATGCTATAGCTAGATTCTAGTCAAAGTTATTTATTATTCTCTTACTGAAATGACAATCTGATTTTTTTAACAAGGCTAGGTCCTAGGCTTGCCTGGCCTGCCATTCAAGACCAGACAAAACTAAAAGTCAGCTTAAGATCTGTTTTAATTTTAGAACAAAACAGCTAACGTTTACTTCATTTTCAGGGTGTAAAACCCCATCTACCAGCTGATGAATGGGGCGAAAATACAACGGTTTTAACTGGCGCCACCAGTGACATTTCTTATGGAATAGATGAGAAGAGAGTCTACGAATTGCCACATGCTCGAGTGGCGGCAAGGAGGTAGAGGAATTACTATTCAATTTGAATGTACTAATTTGAATTGTTTATAAAGTGTGTACTTTAGATTTGATTAGTTTGGCATATTCTCATAAAATTTGACAATGGTTTCAATTTGAAACTAAAACTTAGGGTAGGGTAATTTCCGCAATTTTTTTTGCGCAACTCGCCATAACTTTCTTCTAAGTTGGTCAATCTTTATGATTTGAATTTTATTTTGTAGATCTCAATAAGTGCAACAAAATGACACTAAAATCATAAAGATTCCACTTAGAAGAAAGTTATGGCGAGTTGCGCAAATCAAATGGCGATAGCCTACCCTAAGAATAGCATTAATGTATCGTAATGAATCCAATAGATGATCTAGAATGTGATTTCGTTTTGTTAAAGTTAATGAAAACTGACTATGAGATGAAGGACATGAATCTAGAACCAACAATGTCTAGAGACTCAATTCAAAATGTAAATTTGGCAAACTTTTGATCAGATCTGGGGGTAGGCTACTTTGCGCCAAATTTTTTGCGCAACTCGCCATAACTTTCTTTTAAGTGGACCAATCTTTATGATTTTGGTGTTATTTTGTTGCACTTATTGAGATCTACAAAATAAAATTCAAATCATAAAGATTGACCAACTTAGAAGAAAGTTATGGCGAGCTGCGCAGACGACCCAGTTGCGCAAAAAAAATTGCGGAAATTAGCCTACCCCTAGAGCTTTTCAACCATTCCTTTTGTTGATTTATATTTATAATTTATATTTATTTATTTGTATTTATTAATTTATTCATTAATGAATTAATTAATTTCTATTTCCTAGATGTTCTCGTATGATGTGGTTAACGGTGGCTGGTATCATTTCATTATTCGCCGTTCTTTCTCCACCAATTATGTCACTTCTACCGCAAATTTTACCCTGGTTTGGATACGAGTGGCCAACAATTGTTTGTGAGGTGAGTGTTGTTAAAATATCGTTGAAACTAAATACTCTAATAGAACGCCATCTATAATCGCGTAGTCTAACTACTCTTCCGCTTCTTTTTAGAAAATCATTTTTTTTCTCCGTCCTTAGATTTTTCTCAACTATACTTTTGATACCAAAAAATACTAGATTACAAGAGCTATAATTTGACACCCAAGCGCACACTATAGCATAAAGCAGCGCGGAGAACTGGACGTTCAAAGTTAGACTGCGCCTATTATGGAGATGGCGTTTTATTAGAGTATTTTAACTTGCTTTATCTTTATATTTACGGTATTTATCTTGCTTTTAGCCTGCTTACTAACTTTCTATTTGATTAGATTTATTTATTTTAGGTTGATTGCCAAGGAAAACTGACTTTGATGGCCGTTGAGAGTCTTCTTCTCGTTGCGGCTCTTTGGGCACTCTATTGGAGAAGAGCTGCAGCTGATTTACCGAGGTTCATTTTATCATTCTGTATCAAATCAAAATGCAATTCTTTAAAATTCTCCTTTTAGACTCTATTTCCCGCGAGCAGCACTCACCTTTGCCGTCCTTTTCATCCTCTTCGCTTTCTGGTTATTCTACTCCGTGAGGATCATCATGGAACGATACTCAAATTATACGTGAGTTTTTAAATTTAAGCTTTACAAGAAAATGTTTGTACCGTTTCCTAGTTATAATGATTGTGGATTCACGTTTGGATTGTGAGACATTTGATACGCGTCCCGTCCCTTTTGGCAATCCAACTTTGACCTCAAATTTCTTGGTGTTGGGCTGTTCAATTTAAATAGTTTTTGTACAAATCGACAGAGAAAGACTTGGCGCATCTAATGATACTAAGAACATTTAAATTGGACAGCCCAACATCAAGGTATTTGAGCTCAAAGTTAGATTGCCAAAAGGGACGGGATGCGTCTGATAACCGGCAGAATTCGTAAAGCCAAAAATATTTTATTGAAAAACATTCGAAATTCGCTTCTGGCTATTGACCTGGCCTGAGCTATTACTGAAAATGTGGAAGATTGCTGCTGATCCTGCCCTGCCTGGCATATAATCTCACTTCAGCTGTACCTGTTTCGAAAAACTTTCTTTAGACCATCTACAATTCTTCATACAAAGCCTTTCTTTATTTCAGTTACATCGTCTCCTTCTCTTTATCCCTGCTCGATGCTCTTTTGTACACGCATTACATCTCACTCATCGTGCTCTACATTCGCCAAATGCGACCGGAGTTCACCATCACGGTCACCCGAGATCCGGATGGACACTCGAGTTCGATCACTGTCGGTGAGAGATTTAAGATCAAAGTTTTCCGCTTAAAACAGCTCTTGTAATTCAGTCTTGTTCTTTTGGCTTGCTGGCTTGTTCTTTTTGACAAAACCAAGTCTAAAGCCCCATTTTCAGGCATGATGTCAATCCAAGAGGCCGCTATTCAAGTTTTACGGCACTATGAGACAGATTTCCCGACTTTCAATTCATATTTGGACAAGGTGAGGACTCAAAGTTTCTATTTTTACATGTGTATTCTAGGTTCGACAATCGGCAGTCAAAAACAGTATTCCTGGCCAAAATACGGGCGGCTTTAAAGTCTACGATCTTGAAGGAATCGGCGCTGGCGAGAATATTAGTCAAGTTCGTTGAAAACTGAGTGGTTCATGAGAAAATCATCTGGAAAACACGATTACTCTAAAATTTTCCTATTTTTTTCTAGACGGGATGAGGAATTAGTTCTGATATAGAACGTTAACTCTGGATTTGAAAATCCAGTCCCTAGACGCTAGACTTCTTGAAGCCTTCTAGGCTTTTAGGCTTGTGCCTTGACTCCATAAATGTTAAAAGATGGCTTTTACATTGACTCTGGAACTGTTAAAAGATAAAATATAGCACCTTTTCTATCTATAAGAGTTATTAAAACAAATTTTAGGCAAACTCGCGAGCTCTGTTGACAGCGATGGCAAGACGGCGACTCGGTGGCTATAAAGAGATGCTACAAGAGGAGATGGAGTGGGACAGGTGGGGAATTGAATTGAAATTTGCATCTAAAGGTGAAGACAAGTAAATACGGTAGTTTGGCATCTTTTAGAGAATCAGCATTCATTTTAGAAGACTCAAGAAGAGAAAATATCGTTTGATCGCTGCCGCTGAAGACGCTTTCTCTCATGTGCAAGGGATTCAAGGAAACAATATGAATGCTGGGAATGTGAGTTTGAAATTACAGTACTTGTGGCTCTTTTCCCTGACCAGTTTACATAACGGATACTGATTTGCATTTAAAACTGACTGGGAAAAGAGTCACAAGTGGTTTTGGCCTCGTTTTAAATTCAAAAAAGTATTCGTTAGGTACTGCTTGAAAATTAAGCGTTCTCTACATCTCTTCATTGAAATATGTTATAACTTGTCGAAAAACCTTTCCTGGGTCATTTTTTTGCGTTCTTTCCGAAAAACATGGTTTCAAAACGATTTGAAGCGTCTCTGGTAGTCAAAAATTGCCCGGAAAATCACACAAAATTTTTGCTTTGATTCGAGCCCCTAAAAGTTGGATGAAACTATTTCTCAAAATCTTATAGCACATCTTATAGAGCTCAAAGAGAGCTTTCAGATGCTATATAATGTCTACATCTAAAGTTACAACCCATCAAAACAATACTTTTTCGATGGGGATATGATTTTGACCGGTATTGTGAGTGGAAAAGAGTCATAAGTACCAAAATTACTGCTGTATAACTAGTTTTGAAAATTTAAAGGAATTTCTAGTATCAATTTGGTTTCAGGTTCTTGGTGAACCGATGGACACAACAAATGCCGTTCATCATGTTTTCTCGATGATCGTGAAACCGTTGAATAAATATCTGCGATTAACCCGACAACAACCGAGATATCCAACTGAAAAGGTAATGGCATGAGGAATCAAGCCGATTTTTGGACTTTCAAGAGATTTGAATCAAGTACAGTACTGTACTCTGTACTAACTAAGAGAATGTATCCGTTTTCTAAAACGGATCAACTTCTGAAAACTACCATTATCTTATCTCGTCTGTATCCAGTCGTGAACTGCAGAATCTAAACGTAACAAAAGCTACGGTAGTTTTTGGAAGTTAACACGTTTTAAATAACCCATTAGCACATTCATTCTTTGTTTTTCTAGGTGATGAACTACATCGGCAAATGTCTTTCGTTGAGGCTAAATTATCGAACGTTTCTCTCGTATTTTTTGAGTGACAAGACACCGATTTCGGTAAGAGTTTGTATAAATCTACAGAAAAGAAATAATGTTTTAAAAAATAAATCCATCAAAATTTCTAGGAAATCATCGGCGAAGAGAAATGGTCGATTGTTTCCGAAGAGGAGTGCTCAAGGTCGCTCGCCTCGGGATCGACTTTTTTGTTGAGGTGAGGCAACGTTATAATGAAAAATTGAAATACACCCTTTCTAGCGCACTTAAATCATAGTTTTTTTCTGGAATTTTTGACCCTTGCAATACATGGAAAATACAAAGTAGACAGATAAGAATATAGCCTAGTTTTTATAAGTTCTCAAGTTTGAAGAACAATTTTCAATTGCAATTCCTAAGCATGTAAAAACGGAAAAAATTTTTTAATGCTAATAACTTTAGCTCTTAAATAGAAGCTTTTAAAAGGAATTTTCCGTTTTTTTTCCGTGTCTCAAATCTGATTGCAATAGAATGATTCAAGCTAGTTCCAATCTAGGGTTTATTTTTTAAACTCTCTTAGGATACCAAGATTTTGTTATCTAAGATTTGATAAACCAAGAAAATGAAAAACTGGTCTAACCTTTTATTGAAATAATTACTGAGATAAGGCTAGCTGAAAAGTACCGAATATTTTATTCAAATCAAAAACTTTAGAAGTCACAATCGAGACGAAACGGCTGGTGTTCAGCTGATCTGCTCAATCTCATCACTTCCCTTCTTCAACCTCACAGAACAAAATCGGTAAATGATCGTAGTTTCTAGAGCTTGCTATAAAATTGGCTGATCTTTGTAAACAGCTTAAAAAAATCCTTTTTTAGTGCGCAAATCTCGAAATTTGCTATCAAGCTCAACTCGGAATCGCCCGTTTGATGGGTGAATTTTCTCGAATGACTCAGAAGTGATCTCCGGTGATAAATTGATTGAATGGTTTTTAGATTATTAACTAAATTTGTTGATTGTTCAACGAATTGATCTTTCTTGAGAAATTGATTCACTTGAAATCTCAATTTTCTAGCTTTCAATGGATAGTGATTAAAGTCTTAATTAGAATAAGTCCCTCTCGCTAATGCGTTTTCTAAAAAATGCATTGCACACTAGAGTGTCAATGTTCACATTTCTAAAAAATGCATTGCACACTAGAGTGTCAATGTTCACAATGGGATTACGGTAGAAAGTCTAAAAGATTCAAGGATTAGAAGACTGAATAGCCTTCAATTCAAGGATTAAAAGACTGAATAGCCTTCAATTCAAGGATTAGAAGACTGAATATCTTTCAATTTCTCTGAGTGTAAGCAGTCATTCAGCAGTTTGCAAAAAAGCCTACCGTAATCAAGCTTTTTACATTCAATCAATCCAATTTTAATCCAATTTTTAGCCTACCGTTTTCTAAAAATCATTCGATGAGAAATCACAAGGCTCAGTTAAAATTGAACTGATCGCTTGTAAAATTAAGGATACGGTAGTTTTACAAACTACAGATTACGGTAGCTTTTATAAAATGCCTTTTAGAAAACAAAGAAGAAAGCGCTTTGGTTATGACAGTCAAAAGTCTGTAAGTTGATAGGTTTTCAGTCTTTTAGACGCTCTACCGTACTCCAATTGTGACGTTTTCACTCTGATTACTGTAAATCTAGTGAACATACATTTCCGCCACTTTCTTTCCCATTTTAATAAACAGCTTTTCCTTGCTAAAGCATTGAGCTGAAAGGAATTTCACAATGAGACAAAATAGACACTTTACAGTACTTTAACCTTCTAGTTAGCCCTCAATCCTCAATAAAGTTCTCAATCTCATCCAATCACTATCCATTCTCAAAATCGATTCTCAATTATTTTCTTTCTTTGTACTTTTGTGCAATTCTCACTTTTATATAACTTTTGTTGAATAAGCAAAAAAAATTGTTTGTAAAACGGTAAATCTTACAAAATCACATGAAAGACTTCAACATATTGTAATTAGCGATCGATCAGCGATCAGATCAGAGTTAGTTGATCATATAGCAATACTCAAACTTTGCATAAACTTGGGTTTAAATCGAGATTAGAGACTTGGATCCCACATGACTTAACAGACATCCAGAAATGTCAATGCGTTCCGATCAACGCCGCTCATCTTTCTCGAATTGCGAGCGCAAATTGTTTTGACTATTGTGATAAGGGATGAAAATGGATTCTAACTGTCAACTTTTGGTGAAAGCGTCAATGTTGCTGAGGAGAAAAGTCCAAACATGACGTCAAGCCAAATGTGCATGAGGAGAAGTGTATGCTCTCGGTGCTCTAGGATTTGCAAGAGTCTATCTACTGGGACTTTTGCATATCAAGACAACTAAATCAAATACTCCGAGCAAAAAAAGCAACGAGCAACGAGCAAGTCAGCCAAATCTTTGCCAGAGAAAAATCATTCTTCAACATGATAATGCTAGACCGCATGTTTCAAAGATGACTCGTTCTAAACAACTCACTATTATGCCTTAAATCTTCAAATCTTTTGAATTTTTAAGTTTGTATTATCATAGAGCTCAACGAAGCTTTGTTTCGTTAAAAACTTTGGTGCTAAGCTTACATAATGTTCGAATCTCGTAGGAATTCATTGTTGCTAAACTTTTTTACTTTTAGTCATCCTTCTCAACGATGTCATTTGATGCGGCTGCGTTGGCTTGTGCTTTTCTTCTGTCTTCGCTGCGTGGCTGAAGAAACGAAGGAGCTGCCAACCAAAAGAACACCCATCGGCACACAAGCGACAACCCCAGCAAGCTCAGCGAGCTCAACTATTGATTGACGGAAAGACTACTACTAGAACTGTGACGCTCAACAATCAAGAACCAACGACTCAACCCGATTCTCAGCCTAAAATTGTTGCACGAAGAAGAAGGGGTGAGTTGTTTTGATAAAACATAAGCTTAATTTGGATAGCTCTTGTTTATTTGCAGTTAAAGCTAGCCACAGAGAGTTCAACTGCGTCTATGACACGCCTCTAGTTCGTCTCTAGTTATCTATAGTTAGATATAGGAAATCTTGCTATAATATTGTGTTGTTGTCTTGGCTTGTTTTCATTTTTTATTTTAGAGGTCGCTGGAAAAGTATATCAATGACTACGACACCTACTACACAAATCTGTACTTGTGTTCATGTACTTATGCATCAGGATTTAATTCGAGATCGAGTTCGACAAAAGAGTATGTTTTTGTTCGTTGTTTTGAGTGAGTATGTTGAAACTTTAACTAATTGTGGCATTTTAGTGGAAAGACTGTTTCCGTCGTCCGAATTTCCGATTACGTTCGTCACACCAAATATATTTTCGCGATGCCTTCAAAGCAACCAACAAAGAGATGTACCCACAAAGAGCTGTACCTACAAAGAGATGTACCCACAAAAAGATATGCGCTAGTGTTCCCCCGGGCGACTCCTAGATGCGCCAGTGGTGAGTATTGTTTTTTTGGTAAAAAAGATTTAATTGATTGCCATAATTCATGGTAGATTTTCTATGCTTTTCAAATATTAGCTCTTCTTAGTTCTAACAGCAAATTTAGTTTCAACTTATCATTGTGCTTAAAATAAAATATCATTGTGCTTAACTTTAGTTAGTCGGAGGGCCCAGTTAGGCGAATTTCGTTGAGAAAGCGATTAGAAAAGGGATTAGATGATCATGATCACCAATCTTTGTGCAAAGTTCAATCGTGGATAAGCCGCCGGTTAAGGAGAGCGAGAAAATCAATGCGTCAATGCGTAATCAATGCGTTATTGAACTCGAATTTGAAACAAAATCGATTTTTCATTTTGATACGTTCTAGTTTTATTGTATCCGATTTCTTTCGAATAAAGTGGCAGAATGCGATTGCTGGTTTACTTTCATTTTGTACGTTTTCTATGAACTGAAGATTTAATATGTTAGTTTCAATGCACGAGCATCATTTATACCCGAAAAGTTCAAAATCTAAATAATATATTGCGTGCAAGTATGCGATAGATTCGGAATTTTGTAGTAGAGAGTTTTTCAAGCTTTCTCGATGTTCATTTCGCTCATTTGTGTTGCCAGTGCGTGAGTAGAACAAGTGGGATAGAGTCTAAATTAGGATTTACTTTTTTATTGAGGTTACGCGTGTCATAGGTGCATTATATCTCAGAAACACCGGCGAGTCATTGAAACAAATCAACTCTTACCCGATTCCGGAAGAATTCCGGCACCTGAGCTTTCACAAAAATCGCTTCAAGCTCGTTTTTCATCGACATTCGCTCTTCGCTATGATGCACAAATTGATATTCGTTGAACTCGGCTTTAATGGTGCAAAACCTGAAACTAACTTTGTGCTACAGAGTTAACTTGCTACAGAGTTAATTTTAGTTAGACTTTTGAGAAAGTAGCTACCATGTTTGTGGCTGAGCATGATAGAATACAATCTCTTCATGCACTTTGTTCATCTTCAAACGATACTCTGGCTTGGTAGTGGTGTTTTTAAACAAAAAATAGAGACCCCGAACGAATTGATGAATGTCTTTTGTGCCGCATATTGACTTTTGTCTGTAATTTGCTTTACCCAGTGATCTCTTTTTGAGGAAAACTCGCAAAAGTGGCCATAGAGTGAGAGGAAGCGCTCAATCGGATGGCGAATCACGGCGAATTTCTGAGTTTTCTTGCTTGTATACCAGAAATCTTCTTGTAACACCTCGGACTCGTACCAATTTGCTTTTTGACATTTGCTGAAATGAAAGTTGATTTTATGGTTTTCTAAAACTTTTAAAGAAGAGATCTTCTTGGTGGAGCTGTAAGTACAGGAGTCGATTAAGATTGAAGCATCTTATCAATTAAGATTGAAGCATCTTTTGGATTAAGATTGAAGCATCTTATCGATTAAGATTTTGAAGCATCTCATCGATTAAGATTGAAGCATCTTATCGATTAAGATTGAAACATCTCTTCTGTGCAGAAAAGTGGTTCTTTTCTGTGAAATCTTATTTAATGTTTTGATTTGAATGTCTGATCTTCTTGTCCCGCCTCTGAAAGATTGCTTTTAAGACAAAGGGACGGAGCCCACTTTACATTGGTACTTTTCATATTCTTTCCGTATATTCCTTTCGTATTCCTTTTGTATTTCTATGGAACACTGAACCAACGATTCTATTCTATTGTATTTTCTTGCTAGATTCTGAATAAATATCTAATAATCATTGCCCCTATCGGTATTCTCGCACGACACTGCACATCTTCGATTAAGATTGAAACATCTGATCGATTGAAACAACACTTGAAATATGCAAATTAAACCTCAAATACTAATTGCTTCCTTTAGATTTTCTTTTTTAGATGAAATGCTTGTAATTTTGGCTTTTTCTCTTTCTAAAGTTTATCAGGATTTGAAAATGAACAGAACAAAGAAGAAGAACAAAAAATAAATATTAAATGCAAACAAACCACTCGAATCAAACAAAATGCAACTAATAAACCAAAATTTGACTTATTCGTGCAGTTTTTGTTATGGTGACATCGACTGTTGCATTGAACGTTGGCTTTTAAACATATTAAAAAAATAAATCCTTGCATATAAAGGGATCAACCAAATTTGTGAACTTATTGCTTAGAAACAGGAAAAGTTTCTAAATTAGATGTCACTTTTTTGCTACAAGATTGTGCGAAGATAAAGCAAGTGCACAAGCAGCAAGCAAATTGAGAAAACAAAAAGAAGATAAACGGGAACACTAGCAGAACTAAGAACACAGTTAAAACCGGTGATGGCTTTAAAAAGAATGATTAAATTAGCTAAACTTCACTTTATTAAATCAATTTGCATTTGACTAATTAGTATTTGAGGTCTAATTTGCATATTTAAGAGTGTTATATGTTTTAATCTTAATCGGCTAGCCGGTTAAGTTTTGACTAGCGTAAGTTTTTCAATCTTAATCGGCTATGACATATATATTAGGTTGTTCGGATATAAACAAGCGTTACTAAATTTATTGTTGTGAGGAAAGCTTTTAAAATATGTCTTTCTATATTTAAAAGTACGTTATCTTGTGCATATTTGGAATCTTTTTAAACGGATAATTTCTTATTTTTAAGATCTTTTTTCTTGCTTTAGATGACCGATTTCAAATATTGGGTTGGTGAATTGAAAACTGCCGGCTATTTTCATATGTGACAGTTTGAGCACTTTCTTCAAAAGAAACCCATTTTGGTGTCAATGGAAAAGTTGTAGAGAATCAAAAATCAAGCTTATATCCAAATTTCCGAAAAGATACACTTAGTAGTTTGACTTAAAATTTGTGTGCTCGGTGTGCTCTTTGTGCGGCGGCGTAATCGCTCGTCGTCTGGCGCAGGACTTTTACATAACCCCCTTGCCTCTCTCCTCTCCAATATCTACTGACCGTTTCCGAATAATTGGACAGTGACTTCTCCGCAAATCAAGGCTAATCTCAATCTATTGGGTTGGTGAATTGAAAACCACCGACTATTGTCATAAGTGCCAGTTTGAGCACTTTCTTCAAAAGAAACCCATTTTGGTGTCAATGGAAAAGTTGTAGAGAATCAAAAATCAAGCTTATATCCAAATTTTCAGAACGATTCAAAAACTGGTTTTCAAGAAATGCCAAATTTATGAATTTTCACAAAACTTGCATTTTAAGCGAAACTACTAAGTGTATCTTTTTGGAAATTTGGCTATAAGCCTAATTTTTGATTCTCTACAACTTTTCTATTGACACCAAAATGGGTTTCTTTTGAAGAAAGTGCTCAAACTGGGACATCTCGATTTTTGAGTCCCCACACTTGCCTCACACACAAACCAAAATCCTACTACGAAAGAGGAATCCGCAAATTGCCTGTAAAATGAGCAGAAATCGTCAATAATAATGGAAATTATTTGGAATCAATTTATGGTTTTATGTTCAATAAATTTTAGTTCAAAGTCCCGCAGTTTTCAATTCACCAACCCAATATTACAGAAAATACGGTATTCTAGAATTTATCGACTTTTTGGAACTATCGTAATCTTAACCCCAGTTTGCTCAAAATCTCAACACAAAATGCGCTCAACTCTTCTTTTTCACGGAAACAATTTTACTGCAGAACAAGCTATAGAACCGAGTGCTCTAGGAAAGTACCTTATCTTGTGCATATTTGGAATCTTTTTAAACGGATCATTTCTTATTTTTAAGATTTTTTTCTTGCTTTAGATGACCGATTTCAAACATCAAGTTCGCGTCTGCCTACTTTACGATTTCAAATTGGACAAAACAGTCGCGGAATCCCATCGAGATTTGGTCAAAGCATTTGGGAATGATGTATTGTTTGAAAGCCGATGCCGAGCCTGGTTCCAACGCTTTCTGAATGGTGATGAAAGTCTCGAGGATGATGAACGCTCTCGTCAAGAATATCGTTGTCTACCTCAAACAGTAGACAACGATATTTTGAGGGCTGCAATCGAATGGGATCCATGTCAAACGACGCGTGAACTTGCTCAACAGTTTCTATGTTCAAATTCTACTATTGATGAGCATCTCCACGCCATTGGAAAGACGATCAGATGCGGGAAATGGCTTCCTCACAAGTTAAGCAGTGCAAATGCTCGTTTATATCCGAACAACCTAATAATTTTTAGGTTTTGACCTCCGCGACTGGAAACGTTTTATGTAAGAGCATATGTAAGAGCGTTTTATGGGACACTCCAAAATTTTTTCCGCAAGTTTTGATATCTTGACAAATATCTTGAAAACCCGTGGTTAGATTTCTATGTTTTTAGTATCATTTTGTTGCTCTTATCAAGTGGAAAAAATTAGTATCAAAAACATAAAAATCTGACTATAAGTTATCGAGTTATGTCGAGTTATAGAAAGTTGCGACAATGCCCCGTTGCGGGAAAAAATTTTGCGGTTTTTTGGCTTTCCCCGTTTTATGTTTCAATCGGCTACGACATCAGCTCGATTTTACTTAAAATTCTGATAGAAAATGAAGTTGCAGCCTTGGTTAGTTTAGAAGCTTAATGGAGTTAAGCCTTGGTTAGTAAAGAAGCTTAATGAAGTTGCAGCCTTGATTATTTAAGAAGCTTAATGCAGTTGCAGCCTTGGTTAGTTAAGAAGCTTAATGAAGTTGTAGCCTTGGTTAAGCGTATCTTGTCCTCATTAACAGTAAAACTTTCAATCAGTGAGAGTATTTTATGTCTGATGCAAAAATCAAGATGTTGAAGCTGGAAAATGACCTGATCTCCTCATATTTCGTCCACTTCTCAACAAATGGAATCTTCTTGAAATAGCGAAAAAGATCACATAAAATAATGCGCATCAAAGTGGACGCGTTTTTCGGAATCCGGCAATAGAAAAGGCTCATCTTGTTGAGATTCTGAAAAGAGAAAATGTTTTCTGAAACTGAGTTAACAGCAAATTTATCGTAATCTTGCTTTACTATTAGGTTTTAATCTTTACAAAATCAGATCAAAAGGCAATAAGGTCAATAGGTCTTGGGGAAAGGTCAATAGTTAGTTAATAACTCAATAGTTAATAGCAAAAGTCAATTGCTTGAAGACAATAGCTTTAGAATACGTTTTAGACTTTAAAAGCAACCTTACAACCTTTACTACATTAGCTTTAACTTCAAACATTGAACTAACTAAGTTTTCAAGTTCCATAAAACCGTGTCTGAATGGAATTTTTGGTAACAAAGATGGATTCGTTTCATTTTCATCAAAATTCATCAAATCTATCAAATAAAATAACATTAAAATATATAGAAATATGCATAGGTTAAATAGAAAAATACGTCGCATTAGAAAAAAATAAGTTTTGAATTCAGTAGCACGGAAATGAATCGAGGCAAAAATCGATGATGGGAAATGTGAACGAGAGGCGATTTTCGTTACCGATTTTGAGTGCTTTTCGCAGTGAATGGAAAAAGAGGCAAATGTAGTATTTTGAAATTAAAGCGCTCGAAAAAAACAATAAAAATAGATAGCTTTTTGTCAACTATGGAGTTTTTGACTCTTGCATAGTTTTCGGGTATTTTGGAAGAATCCCGGTATTTTGAAAAAAACAGGATATCTTCAACGGACCATCGCACTTTAAAGGCCTATAACTTTATCCAGAGACAATATTATTGCCATCTTTTTATATCATTGTACAGAGAACATTTCAGGCTTTCAAATGATACCAAATAGAGCTTGATTAGATTTTTCATTCACATGCAAACCAGGCGACACGACACCCGAGTTGGAAAGAGCTTTGCATCATTGCGTGGCTCTGATTTTCTTGGACTGGATTAGCCAATCAAGTTCTATTTGATATCATTTGAAAGCCTGAAATGTTCTCTGTACAATGATATAAAAAGATAGCAATAATATTGTCTCTGGATAAATTTATAGGCCTTCAAAGCGTGACGATCCGTTAAAAATATCCAATTTTTTTCAAAATACTGGGATTCTTTAAAAATACCCGAAAACTATGCAAGAGCCGAGTTTTTTATGCAAACTATTCCATTTTTTAAAAGAAACTTATGAAAAGGTCCAAAAAAGGTGAACAATTTGGTTTTGTTTGAACAATTTGAACCGATCTTTAACTTCAACACAAGTACACTTCGAGAGTGCATCGAAACAACAAATTTTTGGTGCAAATCCGATTTCAATTGAATACTTTTGCGTATTGTATTGCATTTATTCTATAAAACACTGTGAACTTAATTTTGAACCTCATTTTGAATTGAGTGATGTTTAATGCAATTCAAATATTGATAAACTTGCAGGACAAGCCAGATTTTTGTGGATTTATGTTTACAAGAGAATTGACCAGATCTGGCGGTGGGATTTTGACTTGAAAATCAAGACAAAACGATTATCGACAAAATGGAAACGATGGTGAAAATCGGTTTTGCGAATGAGCAATAGTTTTTTGGCAATCACACAATTTTAGATATTTTAGACGATTTTTCGATTTCGGAATAAAGCCCTTAAACCTATTTCAGGAATAAAGCCCTTAAAAACGGCAAACCAAAAGTCTCCCCGTGGCCAAGTGGGCAAAAAAATTTGATTCAATCTCAGTTAACTCTGGTTCGATCTCCGACCAAGCAAAAGCCTTTTACCTTTTCTTTTTTTCTTTCCTTTGTTCCCTTGTTGATTCCTTTGTTCTATTGACTAAGGCTGAAGTCGAGCTCAAGAAAATTCAGTCCAAATCGAGCTGTACTTTTTGTATTCTTCGAATACTGCATGATCTCTCCACAAGCACCACTTTTTGCATTCAATTCAAGTTCACAAAACATGCTGATCAACTGCCACGTTTCACCCAAATATTTGAATCTCACGAGCAACGATACAATGGAATTTTCCAGGAAAAAAAAACTGAGCTTTGATCACTGATTGGGAGAACAACTCACCAAACACGGCTTTTGACCATCGGAATTCAGAAAATAGGCGGATTTCGATGGATTTCGGTGGATTTTGGTGGATTTCAATCCACTGAAAATGTAAAAGAGAATTCCCGAGAGTTTATAAAGACCAAAAGATTTCAATCAATGGCAAGAGCTTTCACTTTTCAACTTTTTCCGAATGCAATTTTGCTCTCCACTTTAAAGCGCACTCTCACTACCGTACCCCCGCCCAGTTGGACACGCGGGTCTTTTTATGGGTTTAGACGGGGAATACAAAATATGGTCGGCACCGGAATTCGAACTCGCGACCTCTGGCTTGCTAGGGGAACGCTCTATCAATGAGCTACATCGACACTATCCCATTGCAGCCAGGATAGAACGTTATGTCTTAATTAAGCTTAGCTTAACTTCTGACAGATTGTCATTTAGCAAAAACAGAATACAGATTTGGAATCAGCATAAAATTCTGCATGGAATGGCATAGCTCGATAGCATTTGACCGGCTCAGCCAGTTGACTTTCCCTTGTAAATCTAAATCTTAAAAAAATTCAATTTGAAAGCCAGTTCAAGTATCGGATGTTTACAGAGTAATTTAACAAAAAAAAAACCACGGAAATCAGATCTTTCGAGTTGTGTAAGAATAGTAATTTTATTTACAAGGGAAAGTCTGTATTGTTAAGCTAAAAACAATGAATGAGAAAGCTTTATATACCAGGTAGTACGGTAGCGAGGGCGCGCTTTAAAGTAAAGAGCAAAATCGAGTTTGAAAAAAGCTTTTTTTTAGCTTTCTCTATTGTGATAATGATGCTGAGATTTTTGGCTTTCTTTTCAATCAATGGTTTGTAATTTCAATATTGATTTTTATTCTTAGAACTTTAGAAAGAAAGTAGAGACACTTTTAAGCAAAGAAAGTAGAGCCACAATTAATTAAACCATTTTCTAAAAGGTACTTAGAGAAAAAACTACAGTAATCCTATTTTTCTCTTCTCAAAAACTACCGTAACCCTTGAATATTGTTGCTTTATTCCTTAAGAGTTTAAAAAGCTTTCATTTTATTGTGTTTAGCGAAAAAGCAATGGGATTACTCAGCAAAAAGCATTAAGCAATTCAATTAGAAAGCATTGTAGTCAAGAAAAAGTTAGCTATTAGATTTTCTACTTAATCTTTTCTATTTTAGCTTACTGTAGATATGGCAAGTATCTTTAAGGATTGGATTTTGTTTGAGATAATAGCTACTTACTTTTTTCAGCTCTTGTCATTCACAGCCAGACACTACCCGCTTGCACATCCTGTCCACCGAATGGTAATTCTTTTTAATTGAAAAGCTCATCTGAAGATCGATCAATTTCCATATAATTTCAGGCATTTGGTCGGATTGGAGCGATTCCGGGAGTTGCTCGGCGACTTGTGGCTTATTTGGGACAGTGACTCAAACGAGAACGTGCACATCAGCGTCGGCGGGATGTCCGTGTGATGCGTGAGTTTTAAAAGTCGCCCAATTTTCAATGACTACCAAAAAGTTACCAAAAGGCGAACATTTCCAGCGCAAACACGAGTCGAACGATCGCTTGCCCGGTGTCCCCGCTTTGTCTCGGAACGATCGACCAACAATGCATGTCCCCTTACACAAAGGTTTGGCAAGCGGCTTGGTTTTTGATCAAAATATTTCCAAAAATCTGTCAACTTTTAAAAACTACCGTATTCTTAGCTTTATTTTTGTCCAATTTTGGTCTTTGCAAGGGCTACTGTAAGATATACAAAGTACAAGAGTGTTCCGAGGTTCTAGAAAAAGTCAAGCTAGCCTAAACCGAGTCAAGCCAAACCAAAGCTGGCCAAAAGCCAAACCAGTCAAGCCAAGCCAAAGCTGGCCAAAAGCCAAACCAGTCAAGCCAAGCCAAAGCTGGCCAAAAGGCAAACCAGTCAAGCCAAGCCAAAGCTGGCCAAAAGGCAAACCAGTCAAGCCAAGCCAAAGCTGGCCAAAAGCCAAACCAGTCAAGCCAAGCCAAAGCTGGCCAAAAGCCAGGCCCAGATCTGGTTCAGATCTAGTAAAATTAGGTCAAACTTCCAACCAGATCAAACTGGTAGTCAAATGGTTGCCTAAGCTTCCTCTGGAACAATTCTGGGTGACAAGAGTACGATAGCTTTCAAAAGCTGACACGTTTTCGAAAACGAATCAAGGCGTAACCTTGGCTCTAGTCGATACTTGTGAATCAACAACAATTCGACAATTCAGTGGGCAAACAATGATCTGAAAAAAAGCGTGTGCGGCAATGTGACCTCATCAGATGATTATGTGCCACCAACGTGCACGATGTGAGAGTCGATTGTCTAATGTCTAATGTGAAGAAATCTGTAACATAAATCCATTTGTACCTTTAGTTCTTTGTTCTTTGTTTATTTGTCGATGTTTTAAAAATTAATAAAACTATTTAACAGAAGCTAACAGTGACAAAATCCAAAAACAGCAAAAAAAGGTTAAAGAAAAGTTTTTGGCCTAAGCCAAGCCAAGCCAAATCAATTGAAAGCCATGACTTTGGCGTGGCTTATTGTTACCTTTGGCTTTGTTCCTTTGCCAATCCTGCTGAGGCCTGGCCCAGCCTCACTATAAGATTTTAATGATAAACCCGTGTCTTGGATTTCATTCTCAAATAGATATCGTGCAGATCTTGTCCTGAAGTGTATCCCTCTCTAATTCTGCGTTTTCTAAGCATGTCAACTATCAAAAACTACCATAATCTTCTTTTTGTTCTTATTGGCTTCCCCCACAGGCATCTATTAGGGTTTTGCCCCCCCACCACGCACTTTACATACAGAAATTTTCCATTTTATGCTTTCTTTTTTGACTGACCATTTCTGTAAAGAAATTTGAATATTCTTCGGTTATATGTACTTCCACTATCTTCTCTATCTCAAAATTGGTGGTACGGAGATTTCCCCTCGTTTTCCAACATCAAAAATTACAATTGAATAACTTCAATGCAGCATAAAAAGAGTAAAATTGAGTTTTTTGGGGATGATGATGACCATGATGCCACCATGATGCCAGTTAAAGTTGTAAATGTAAATTTTTGCTTATGTAAAATGAGGTAAAAATCCATATTGATTCAGGGTATACATCCCCTGGAGTCGAAGAAACCCTAACATGACTTTCCAGCGAGACTGGGCCCCGGCCCATGGAGCGAAAACCACAATGGAGCTGATTTGGCGCGAATTGCCCTCTTATTTCACGAAAGAAGACTGGCCCAGCAACTCGCCGGACCTCAATCCTTTGGATTTTTCAGTATGGGGCTTCTTAGAGGAACGTTTGAGACATAAGAAAATCGCAAATCTTGGTGAGCTCGAGAGGGAATTGATCGCTGCCTGGAACGATATTGATACCAGCTACCTCCGTGCCACCGTCGGCTCAGTGATCCCGCGTCTGAAAGCCGGTATCAAAGCCAAGGGATCCAAGTTTCGAACACTTGTTATAAATTTGAATTTTTGGTTATTTATCTGCTATTTTTTCAATGAATATGTTAAAAGCTCAATTTTGAAAAAAGATATGATGGTTGGAAAAACGATAATACTTTTCTCGGACCCTGTAAACGAAAACATGTTAACAAATTATCTAAAGTTAAACAATAACGACAAACATAACAACAATAACAATAAAAAACTTAACAAGCCAAAAGATTAACAAAGGTTTACAAAATTATCCCTTGTTCAAGCAGGAATTGCTATGGTGACATCGGCTATTACAGAGGACGCTGGCTTTTCGACAGGTACACCGTCCATTCTAACATCCATTTGTGCAGTTGCAATGCTTGGTTGGAATGGTTGGAAAAACGACAATACTCCTGTAGCCCATAAATATCCTTTTCTTTAGTTTTTATTCAATCTTTCTACTTTTCTATCTAAGCAATTAAAGAAAAGATTACTGGAGTTTACGGAAAAGTTGAAAAAACTTTAGAAAAAGGTGAAAGAATCACTATTAATGAATGGGATAGATATGAAATTATCTGTCAAAGAGAATTGAGACTAAATCTGGAGCTGTCAAAAGCTCAAAAGAGCTCTTGAATGTCAAAACAGATTTGAATGTCAAAACAAAACAGAAAAAAACATCATCCAACGTTTACAGTAATCATGATAAACAAAGAGATTAAATAAAATTGTAACCAATATTTGTAACCAATCAAAAAGCGATCAAAAAGCGATGGAAAAGCAAAGTTCATTGAAATTTCGCTAAAAAAACATCAATGTTTACCATTTCATCGAAATTTTCCATCGAACACGTGTTAGCGCAAGAGTTAACGATCGAAAAAAGACAAAAACACACCACAAAGAAACTAGATTTCAGTTATTTTTGTATTTTTGCCAATATTGAATAAAAAGATTGGTTGTAAACGAAAAACGGATGGATTAAAATATTGTGTACAATTTGTAAACAATTTTTCAAACCCGGAAAAACAATTTGAGTGAAAGAATTTTGGTATATAGGCAGTGATGGAGAGGTGGATGTTCATCACATCACAGTTCATCAATTTCCTCATTTTAATGCACGATTTTCGAGATGGCTTTGAAAAGGATTTTGATATTTTTGATGCCTGGTGAGTCTTCGATGATTCGACAGTTCATTGCATTTCAAATTTTCTTCTCATACTCCTTTTTGCTCATGCTTCTCATGATCTAACCTTGCAGAGCTTGAGCTTACAAGCTCATGAGCTTGTAAAGCGCTCCAGCTACCGGAAATGTAAGCGCTTTAAAGTGCGACTAGCGTAATCTCGTAGCACAATTGGTGAATGTTGTAGAGCTATAGTAAATTTAGCCACTCAGTTTCGGTAGAACTGAAGGCGGAGCTCGGAAAAGTTCCCAAACTCTAATCTAGGCCAAGTAAGGCCACCAAGGGTTTACTGCAAGTTCGGACAAAAAGACCAGGCCTTTTTGTTCGAACAAAACTGGATCTGGAAGTGGCTAGCTGAATCTGGAAGTGGCTAGCTGAATCTGGAAGTGGCTAGCTGAATCTGGAAGTGGCTAGCTGAATCTGGAAGTGGCTAGCTGGATCTGGAAGTGGCTAGCTGAATCTGGAAGTGGCTAGCTGAATCTGGAAGTGGCTAGCTGGATCTGGAAGTGGCTGACTTGGGTCTAGATCTGGATCTAAGCCTAGTTCCTTCATTTCCTTTAGCTTAGCTGGACATATCCAGCTAGGCTAAAGAGAATATCCGGGTGTGGCTGGGTCTAGTTAACTAGAAATAGATCTAGTTAAGTCTAGAAATAGATCTAGTTAACTGGATCGATTATTTGGTATTTACAAATAGAAACAGTTATTTACATTTTCCCGAGCTCATCAGAACCACATTGAATGCAAATTTCAAAAAGATATTTTCAGCAATTGTCGTTTATGCCCAACCCGCATGCACGAGTTGTCCACCAAATGGTTTGTGTAAGTGCGATCACTTTCAAAAGTCGATTAAAGGTATTTGGTCTCAATGGGCTGACACATCACAATGCACAGCAACTTGTGGTTTATGGGGAACGAAGAATCAGGCGCGCAGCTGCACTTCTGCGCCATTGGGATGTCCCTGTGATGCGTAAGCTTTAGAAAACGTTAAATGGGTAAATGTTTAGCCATTTAAATCATTCGCATAGTTTAATTTGTATAACAATTTCCTACTGGATAGGGGAATTTATCTGACAAGCAAGGAAGTTAAGCAAGAAAGTTAAACAAGAAAGTAAGCACTATCAAAGCAGCTAATCTCATAAGAAAGTGTTCAAAGACATAGCTAAAATATCCTTAATAGAGTCATTTCAAAGCCAGAGCCAGATCTTTACTGATTTGAAGTTCTTGCTGAATGAAAAACCTGAGTGCTAGGCCTAGTGCCAGGCCTGACCTTCTGGCTAGGCAAGCTGGGCCTTCTGGTCAGGCAAGCTGGGCCTTCTGGCCAGGCAAGTCTGGGCCTTCTGGTCAGGCAAGCTGGGCCTTCTGGCCAGGCAACTCTGGGCCTTCTGGTCAGGCAAGCTGGGCCTTCTGGCCAGGCAAGTCTGGGCCTTCTGGTCAGGCAAGCTGGGCCTTCTGGCCAGGCAAGTCTGGTCCTTCTGGTCAGGCAAGTCTGGGCCTTCTGGTCAGGCAAGTCTGGCCCTACTGGCCTGGATCGGTGGAACATTTCTCCTCACATATAAACAAGATCCAGTTGTTAAACAAGATCCAGTTGTTTCATAGCTCTTACAGATGAGAAGAAGCAATCTTCTTACAGAAGAAATCTTACTATTACCGGATTCTCTCTGAGCGTCACTTAAATTCCTCGAAATCTCGAAAACCGCTTATCAGAACCTATCGATGTGCGGTCGGAAAATGTAGCTAACGACGAGATCTTGTAGAAGATTAGAGTGTTGAGTCTCTGCGTGAACTTGAAAACCGTGAAATAGGCACTAACTCGGCAGAGGTAGCTGAAAATTGCAGAGAACCGACAACGCGAACCACCGCTTGCCCGGTGAGTCCACTTTGCCTAGGCACCGTGTCACAACAATGTATGCCTCCTTATTCAAAGGTTTGATATATTTAATTGTTTTTAGCATAGCTTTGACATTTGTTTTTGCTTAGATACTGTTTTTAACATAAAAATGAAATTTAGTGGGCAAACAAAGTGACGAAAAGAAATGAGTGCGGGAATGTGACCGCGTCAACGGATTACGTGACACCATCTTGTGTGATGCCTGGTTAGTGAATTGAATCACTAAAACTTAAAAGAAGCTAGTAATGGTATGGTAATTTTGTTCTTGTTCTATTACAGTTTACCGGAAATACTGTACCCCACCCCCATAATGACGGTGCGGAGTGTCGCGTAGTCTAGCTTTGAACGAGTTTTTCTCAACACTGGTTTATGCTACAATGCGCGCTTAGGTATCAAATAATAGCTGAAATTCAGGGCTATTTTTTGATACCTAAGCGCGCATTGTAGCGTAAACCAGTGTCGAGAAAAACGCGTCCAAAGCTAGACTACACAACACTCCGCACCGTCATTATGGGGGTGGGGTACTATTACAGTATTTACGGTAGTTGAATAGTTTTTAATTTATAAAGTAGTGAAACAGATTACTGTAGCTGGGATAAGAATGCGATTAGGCGATAGATTTCTGCTTACAATAGATCCATTTGTTCCAACTTAGCATTTCTAGGCCCTGCTTGCGGCTTCTGCACCTCTTCAACCCCGATATTGCCTATTGTTACCGATGGATCGATCGGGGATTCTCCATTTGCATCAGGTTTTGCAAAGTTCAAGCTTTTAATGGCTTATCTTTTCATTTTTCTATTTGAATTAAACAATTATTTTTGATTATAGTCTACTGTTACAGATGTACTCACAACCGATTCGAATGGTTGTTCGTTGCGCACATTCACGTGTACATCGACGGCCCCTGGTGAACCGCCGCCATGGCCTGCAACGATTGAGGTGATTTGTATAAAGAAAAAGCTCTAGCATTGCTCTAATTTGAAAATTGTATAGATTGGGATACTGAAGTAAACTGAAATAAGTAAGTAAAGTAAGTATTGGGTTGGGGAGAATGAGTCGGCGCCAAACTTTAAAGGGACTTTTTGCACACATAAAGCCTTCTTTAAACATACGTTTGGTTTCATCAAAAGGATCCACTATTTCTCTACAAAATCACTTTTGAGAGATTCCACAAAGCTTTTCTTTCGTGGAGTTTATGGACTCCCAAACACAGCTAGTCAAAATGGCAAAGAGTCCGACTCATCATTTGAACAGTTTCTTTCACATAAACCTTCTTTGGTGTTTATATAAAAAAGATAGAGCACATTCAATTACTTAAGTTGCCAAATTTGCAGGAAGATCCCACCAATGGTTTTTTCTAGATCACAGTTTGTAGTTTTTGTGAAAAAATGGCTTTTTCTTGAGCGGAGGCGCTGTTTGAATTTTCTTTTAAATGTGATTTTGTAGAGAATTAGTTAACCATTCTACTCATATCAAACGCATATTATTTCACGAAGTCGAATTGAAGTTTTAGACATTTTTTTCATTTTCGGCGCCCACTCATTCTCCCCAACCCAATAAGTAAACTGAAGTAAGTAAAGTAAGTAAGTAAACTGAAGTAAGTAAACTGAAGCAAGTAAAGTCAGTAAGTTGAACCTTAACCTTCGATTTTCTTGGCTTTAATCTCAAACTAAAGTTTGCGTAAAGATAAAGAAATTTGGCTCAATTTGGTTAGCTTTAACTCAAGTTTTAATTATCAGACAAAAAAGACAAAACTTGTCTAAAGTTTTAATTGTAAGCCGATGGCTTTGACTAGAATTGGCCTAGAATTTCAATCTTACTGTTGGATTTGGCCAAAAACTTTGGCTTTATCTTGGCTTTGACTGAAATCGACAAAGGAGTGTTTAACGGTTTTTTTGGGTTTATAGAAGTTAATAAGTTTGCAATTCCTGAACCACTAAAATCCGAATTTAGGCAAACAACGACCTAACACTTTGCGACAGTTCCGGCATTTCCGACACTTGCTCTTCATCACTCATTTGTAACTCGGACGGCACTATGTGGACGTACACGGCCAGTGGAGCCACACTAAACATTGAAAGGATTGGTTGCTCGGCGGTCACCTGTGAGACATATCCCAGTTTGTGTTGATTTTCAATTCAATTTTGATATTTCTGAATGCTTACGATTTATGCTCGATTTTAGAAATTTGCAGTTTGTCTTTCTGCAATTTCTGCAGTTTTTGCAAATCCTTATATCATTTTTGTTTCATTTGCAGTTAAAAATTAACTTTCATGTAGCTTCTTTGTGTTGATAAATCTAAAAAGTAACGATTTGAATAACTGGAAACAAAGTAGCTGGCTAAACAAAGACTGTTAACAAAGTATCTGGCTAAACAAAGCTTTATGAACAAAGTATCTGGCTAAACAAAGCTTTGTTAACAAAGTATCTGGCTAAACAAAGCTTTGTTAACAAAGTATCTGACTAAACAAAGCTTTGTTAACAAAGTAACAAAGTGCTCAAATGTTTATCACTTGCGAACGTAACGGAAAGCCGATTTGGCACTCTAAAGTAGATATTGGCTTTTCACAAACTACAAGATCAGACTACAAACGCTTGTAGAAACGCGTAGAATGGTTATTTTTATAAACTTCTTTTACCAAAAGATCGAACCAACTTTGGGCTTTTGAATGACACCAAGAACAGACCAATCCATGATCTCTACGCTAAAATATAGCGGCTGATTACAGGCTGCGGGTTACGATAAACTAGGCATGCTTTAAACACGTTTAAAGCAGTCAAACGTTCTTTACAGTAAACTTGTAATGTTTTCAAATTAGTTTAAATGCAAATCAAAAAGTTAAAATACAAATTTGATTCAATCCCAATGAATCTTTTACCAAAACTAGTAGAATTAGAATCAAGAAAGGGGGAAAACTCTTAGAATCATCAAGTCACGAGTCATCTGACGCCATCTGATGCCATCTAATGCCATCTGATGCCATTTGATTCCATCTGACGCCATCTGATGCCATCTAATGCCATCTGATGCCATTTGATTCCATCTGACGTCATCTGATGCCATCTGACGCCATCTGATGCCATCTAATGCCATCTGATGCCATTTGATTCCATCTGACGCCATCTGATGCCATCTAATGCCATCTGATGCCATTTGATTCCATCTGACGTCATCTGATGCCATCTGACGCCATCTGATGCCATCTAATGCCATCTGATGCCATTTGATTCCATCTGACGCCATCTGATGCCATCTAATGCCATCTAATGCCATCTAATGCCATCTGATGCCAATTTTAGATCAATCCTTGTTACAATCATTGTTACAATGATTGTAGAGTTAAAGAAAGAAAGTATCAGTTAAAGAAAAGAAATTCTTAATTCAAAGTTTAGAAGTCAACAAGCAAGCGAGTTTCTCGGTGCCAATTTCTAAATGTCAATAAAGAAAGGATCGTCGAGGGAAATGGAGGAATGCCACGACAAGACGCTGCTCGCCTCTTAGGATGTACGCCCAGAACAAAACTGTTCTGGTTTAGAAGTGAAACCAGGTTCAAAGTTTAGAAGTGAACAAGCAAGCAAGTTTCTCAAGTTTCTCGGCGTCAATTCAACACCGTTCCCTTGATCATCTATCCTGTAAAGTTCAGCATCAAATTGCCCAAAAAAAAAATGTGCTATTTGAAGCCATTTCTGTAGCCGTAAACGCCCAGAAAATTCTCATCAATTTGGTTTTAAATCTGACGTAAAATTTTCGAGAGTATCATGAAAAATGAGGAAATGACCGCGATGAGATTGGGCGATTGAGCGGATCAAATGGAATTATTTCAATTTCAACTCAATAAAACACAAAATCAGAGATATTTTTGATTGAGCAGTGGAAGGTTTATAAGTGCTCGCACCCAGCACAGTTCACTTGAACTCAAGCGTTTTTTTTTGAGCGTTGAGAATGGCTTTGAGAAGAGTGTTTTTCTTATCGATGATTGGTTGGTTTTTGGTTGAATTTCTTTAAGATTTAAGGGAATTAGGGAAATCTGAAAGTCTTCTATTAGGTTGTCGGATTATGAATTGCCGTTGTCTTTTTTGCTTTGTATTTTTTTTCAAATAAATTTTTGTGGCACTTTTTAAACTATGTTAAAGAGCGTTTTATGCCGCGTCGATTGATATATTATTCGTCTATATTTGCTTAGATTTTTAATATAAATTTGCCTTAGGAAATGAACGACATCAAAAATAAAATGTGGATTTGTTTGTTGTACGACTTCAAACAAAGGAAAACAGCGGCAGAATCCCATCGCTCTATAAGCAATGCATTCGGAGAAGATGTTATCAACGAACGTCAATGTCGCAATTGGTTTCAGCGCTTTCGGGACGGCGACGAGAGCCTTGAAGACAAAGAACATGAGAGGCGACCAAAAACTGTGGACGATGAGGAACTTAAAGCAGCCATCGATTCTGATCCTGCCCAAACGACACGAGAACTTGCTGAGAGGTTCGGTTGTCATCATTCCACCATTGCTGACCACTTGCATGCCATTGGTAAGGTGAATAAATGCGGTAAATGGGTGCCTCATGAACTAAGCGATTTGAACAAAACAACGCGAATCAATATGGCCGGAATTCTTTTGCGTCAAGCCAAGAACAGTGGTTTTTTTGAGTCGATTGTCACGTCTGATGAAAAGTGGTTATCCTTTGATAATACCACTAGAAAACGACAATGGTTGGACCCTGGACAAACCCCAAAAACCGACTCCAAAACCAGACATCCATGGCAAAAAGGGGATGCTATGTGTTTGGTGGAATAGCAAAGGATTGGTGCATTTTGAAGTGCTAAATTCTGGTCAAACGGTTAATGCGGACCCCTACAAAGAACAATTAAGCCGCGTCGATCAATCGCTTCGTCGACAGGGAGTGGAAACAGCGTCAACAAAATTGCTCCATGACAACGCGCGTCCACACACCGCAAAAGTAACTCTGAAAAAAATTGAAGAATTGGGCTGGGAACTTCTGCCTCACCCGCAATATAGCCCAGACCTTGCGCCATCTGATTACCATTTGTTCCGGTCGATGCAGCATTCCTTGGCCGGAAAAAAATTCAAAAACCGCGATGAAGTCCAAATTTGGGTGGCCAATTTCTTTGAGTCACAGCCGGTCGAGTTCTTCAACAAGGGCATTCATTCTTTGCGTGGACGTTGGCGAGATGTCATAGATACCGATGGAGAATACCTTTTAGATTAAAATATTTTTGTATTGATTTTATAATAAAATTACTTTTTGATAAAAACGGCAATTCATAATCCGACAACCTAATAGTATCCGTTTTCTAAAACTTGTCAACTTTTGAAAATCCTGGCGCCGTAAGTAGCTGCAGGTTACGGTAGCTGCCGTAAGTAGCTGTCGTAAGTAGCTGTCGTAAGTAGCTGCAGGTAAGTAGCTACCGTAAGTAGCTGCCGTAAGTAGCTGCCGTAAGTAGCTGCCGTAAGTAGCTGCAGGTAAGTAGCTACCGTAAGTAGCTGCCGTAAGTAGCTGCCGTAAGTAGCTGCCGTAAGTAGCTGCAGGTAAGTAGCTACCGTAAGTAGCTGCCGTAAGTAGCTGCCGTAAGTAGCTGCCGTAAGTAGCTGCCGTAAGTAGCTGCCGTAAGTAGCTGCCGTAAGTAGCTGCAGGTAAGTAGCTACCGTAAGTAGCTACCGTAAGTAGCTGCAGGTAAGTAGCTGCCGTAAGTAGCTGCCGTAAGTAGCTGCTGTAAGTAGCTACCGTAAGTAGATTTACTTTCATCTCTTTTCATTTCCTTTTTTGAACTCTATTTTGAAATCAGAAATAGAAAATTGAGTGAGACAAGGTTACGGTAGCTTTAGAAAAACGCTTTCGTTGAAAAGAACATACATCTAATAATATACTTTTAATATACTAAAGTAAGCAAAGTTACTTTTAAGACTTTAATAAACTAAATAACCAAGAATGACTATGATTGACAAGAGAGGACTTCTGCCTCACTATTAGAAGTTAGAAATTGGCTGTTTTGATCTCAGAAGATTCGAACCTAATCCGAATTTTCCAAGATTAACAAGACACGCCAGTGTGGCACAATACCAGTGTGGTACAACAGCAATGTGGCTGTCTCTGGAATTAGAGGCTGAATTAGGGACCCGGGCTCCCCCGGTGGATCAGTTCATGTCTTAGGTTCTTAATGCGAGAAGTCTATCAACCCTTCCCCATCTTTTTATTGCCAGAACAAGCTGGAGATTGTTTAATAGGGATTAGGGAGCTGAGAATGTAGGCTTGGATTAAGTTAAGTTGTGTGTTTTGTTGTTAAGTTAGCTCAACTTCTTAATACAATACTACACAATACTAGGCTCTAGTATTGTGTGTGTCGCATTGTGATTATCGTGCTGAATAAGCCAAATCCGATGGATAACTTTATAAAGTTCATTGAGAAAATAGTCACTTCTAGCGATGTTTGCCGATGCACAAACCCCGGCGTGCACAAGCTGCCCAACAAATGGTGAGGTTTTGATTGAAAGCAGATTTTTCGATTTACAATCGCTACAATAGCCACCCTATGCCAGCTTATCTTTCCTATTCAGGCATTTGGTCGGATTGGACGTCTGGGAGTTGCTCGGCGACTTGTGGCCTATTTGGAACAATGACACAGACGAGAACTTGCACATCAGCCGCGTTGGGATGTCCGTGTGATGGGTAAATAATGAAAATCATTGACTCTTTTTGATGCCAAACTTGTTTCCAGTTCGGTCACAAGTCGAACAATCGCTTGCCCGGTGGCTCCACTTTGCACGGGCACAGTTGCTCAACAATGTATGGCCCCGTATGGAAAGGTTGGTAAAAGGGGTTCAAACTATATCAAAATGATAAAAATTTGAACACAATGTTCTGTTATTGGCTTTAAAGTGTTAAGAGGCATCTAAATATGTGTTTCTTTTGAGTAATCGCTTTCTAAGACGCCTTCCAATCAATGTAACGGCTGGTCAAGTTGCTTGCCTGCTTGTCTCTAGAGCGAACAGCTCTAGAGACAGCTTAGACCGCAAGTTCGACCCCCCCCTCGATGCCAATTCTTTACCCTTTTTCTTCAAAAACTTTTGGTTCTTTGCTAGATCGATTTAGAGGGTTTTATTTAGGATTTACTAAACTTATCAGCTTTCAAAAGCATAGAAAAGTAAGAAAACTGCTTTTTTTCAACAATAACAGCACTTTTTAGACTACGATTACTTGAGATTTACTTGAAATAAAAATTACTTACACAAATCTGTTCGAGTAAACTTGCTCAAGAGGAACAAAGTCTATTTGAGAGTACAGTCTAAACCGAGCCAGAACATCTAAACCAAGCACGGCCAAGTCTAGGACTGGATTTAGATTTGCAGTTTAGATTCTAGAGTAACCTAGGTAGCGGATTACTGTAACTAACTAGAAATAGAAAATATAATGATTTATGAAGACCCACGGATGAGATTAAAGCCGAGTTACGGTAGTGTTGGAACATGCTTTAAAACAGAAATCAATCAATCAACCAGAAATCAGAACCAGAAGAGGCTTTTTGCTCGGTTTTATTGGGTTGGTGAATTGAAAACTGCGGGACTTTGAACTAAAATTTATTGAACATAAAACCATGAATTCATTCCAAATAATTTCCATTATTATTGACGTCTTCTGCCCATTTTACAGGCAATTTGCGGATTCCTCTTTCGTGATTTTGGATTTGAGGATTTTGGTTTGTGTGTGAGACAAGTGTGGGGACTCAAAGATGGAGGACTGGAGATCTGGAGATGTCACAGTTTGAGCACTTTCTTCAAAAGAAACCCATTTTGGTGTCAATAGAAAAGTTGTAGAGAATCAAAAATTAGGCTTATAGCCAAATTTCAAAAAAGATACACTTAGTAGTTTCGCTTAAAATGCAAGTTGCAAGTAAAAATTCTTAAATTTGGCATTTCTTGAAAACCAGTTTTTTGGATCGTTTTGAAAATTTGGATATAAGCTTGATTTTTGATTCTCTACAACTTTTCCATTGACACCAAAATGGATTTCTTGGAAGAAAGTGCTCAAACTGCCATGTATCACAATAGCCCGCAGTTTTCAATTCACCAACCCAATAGATTAAGATTAGTCTTGATTTGCGGAGAAGTCAGTGCCCAATTTGAGGATTGGGAAACAATCAGAAGATCATTTGAAGGGGGTTATGTAAAAGCCCTGCGCCAGACGACGAGCGATTACACGCCCGCACAAAGAACACACAGAACACACAAATTTTAAGCGAAACTACCAAGTGTATCTTTTTGGAAATTTGGATATAAGCTTGATTTTTGATTCTCTACAACTTTTCCATTGACACCAAAATGGGTTTCTTTTGAAGAAAGTGCTCAAACTGGCACTTATGACAATAGTCGGCGGTTTTCAATTCACCAACCCAATAGCACACTTTTCCACTAAAATTCCAGCAATTATAAGCTGATATTATGTCATTTTTTGTATAAAAAGTTTCTAAAATCAAATTCGGAACTGAAAAATTCAGTGGGCGAACAAAGCGACGAAAAGAAACGAGTGCGGAAATGTGACCTCATCAACAGATTATGTGGCACCGGCTTGTGTGATGAATGGTTGAGTTTAAAATACACTCGAAATGCAAATCTTGAGTACATTACAGTACTTTTGATTATTGTAACTTTATTCGAAAGTACTATGATTTGTTTATAAATTACAGTTTCCTCTAGGACCCGCTTGTGGCTTCTGCACCTCAGCAACACCAAATCCTCCAATCGTCACAAATGATGATTCCTTCGGGAATACTCCATTTGATTCAGGTGTTGAAACTACTGTAGACACTGGAATAGTACCACATTTCCCTCGTACGATCGCGTAGTCGCACAAATTTTTAGTACCAGCCTAGTAAACACAACAATTTTTTCCTCCAAAACCACTTTAGAGCTCCGAAACTTGACTTAAAACGCTTTTTCCTAAACTCTCGTTGTGTTTTTTGGAATCTACGCATAAAACTACCCCAGAAAAAGTTGTTTTAAAGAAATTTCATAAAAAAATTACGGTAGTTTGTCATTTATTGATAATGTTTTTCAGATGTTGTTACAACTGATTCTAATGGCTGCTCAGTGCGCACACTCACTTGCACCTCAACGGCGACTGTCGATGCGCCATGGCCTGCCAGCATTAGTGTGAGTTTACATCAATCTAATCATCAATCATCAATCCACCCATTTCCTACTGAAAATCGAACTTTGAACTCAAATATCTTGGTGTTGGGCTGTTTAATTTAAATATTCTTAGTATCATTAGATGCGCCAAGTCTTTCTCTGTCGAATGGTATCAAAACTATTTAAATCGAATAGCCCAACACCAAGAAATTTGAGCTCAAAGCTAGATTACTAGTGGTCCCGGGTTCGACTCCTCTCGTTGCCAATTCTTTTGCTTTTTGCTGCATTTGTTTGATAGTAAACTTACTATTAGACTACGCGACGTTCCTATAGCGTTATTAGGATTTACGATCGATGCGTATCGTTTAATTTTAAATAGAGAGTTCTGCTGAATTAGCTTTTAAACTTTTAAATGCAAAATGACTAGTAAAGGACTCAAATTACAGGCGAACACCGATGCGACTTTATGCCAGAGCGCTGATGGAGATGATTCATGCAGTGCGGCGATAAATTGCAATACGGACGGAACTGCGTGGACGTTTACTCAAAACTCGGTCACAAATGATATCACAAGACTCGGTTGTCTTGCAGTAAGCTGTGAGAGTTATCCCGATTACTGTTAGAATTTATATTTTTTACTGCCTTTATTGTGGTTTTGCAAAATTTCGTCAAACCTTTTGAAACAGTTTGGCAATAAAATGTGTACAGCTGTTGATTGGAGAAGTGGTAACAACGAGATTTTACGGGTAGTCCGGACCAGGTACAGCAAAAAAAATCGTGCAAAATAAAAGCAAAAATGATCCGCTTTGATGATTGTTGGCTAAACAGACAGGTTTTAAAAATGAATGAACATGAATTTGCTTCATTCTCGAAGAAGTTATAAAAGTTATAAAAGACTTTGCAGTGTAGAAACTTGTTGACCTTGCTGCATTGCACAAAAAAAGCGTCTAGATGTGAATGAACCTGAGAATGAACCTGAGAATGAACCTGAGAATGAACCTGAGAATGGATCGATTATGGATCGATTATGGATCGGTTAATTGATCGGTTAATTGATCGGTTAATTGATCGGTTAATTGATCGGTTAATTGATCGGTTAATTGATCGGTTAATTGATCGGTTAATTGATCGGTTAATTGATCGGTTAATTGATCGGTTAATTGATCGGTTAATTGATCGGTTAATGGATTGGTTAATGGATTGGTTAATTGATCGGTTAATGGACTGGTTAATGAATCGGTTAATGGATCGGTTAATTGATCGGTTAATTGATCGGTTAATGGATTGGTTAATGAATCGGTTAATGAATCGGTTAATTGATCGGTTAATTGATCGGTTAATTGATCGGTTAATGGATTGGTTAATGGATTGGTTAACTCCGTTAACTTTGGAGAAGTTCCTTTGTGTTAAACTGTTCATTTCCCAAGTCGCTTGGGTCGGTTAATGGATTGCCTAATGGATTGGTTAATGGATCGGTTAATAGATCGGTTAACTCCGTTAACATAGGAGAAATCCCTTTGTGTTAAACTGTTCATTTCCCAAGTCGCACTTGGCATAGCTGACTTCATAATTACTCTGACAATAAGCAAATACAATTTTTGATCGAATTCTTCAGCTAATCATAGAACTTTACTTAACAGAAATATCTATTACAGTACTATCTAGATTCCAGAGTTTCAGATATCTGGAAATTGTATAGAAAACGAAAGATATCTAAATTAGATGTGCTAATCGATCTAATTAAATCGAAACCTAATAGAAAACTAATCGAAATATGCTAATCAATTTATAATTTGTGTCTATATAAAAACTGTTAAAGCTGTAGGAAAAGAATTTGTCTATTCTCTCTTTACAGTAACTTTAAACAGTTTGCTTACTTTAAACTTTAAACTTTAAACAGTTAAACAGTCCGCTAAAGTCTTTATTATTTCACTAAATCAAGAAATTTGGCAAATTTTCATCAAAAATTGTAATGAGATCATAAGTGAAAACATTGGATATGTAATGGAAAGACTTCTTTGGCTTTTTCATTGAACTTTCATTGAACTTTCATTGAGAAAGTGCCGGTGATTGTTTCCTCAAAAACATCGGTGAAACTGATCGAGTAGATGAATTCACACTAAAGAAAGAAGATTTTAAAGAAAATACAATTGTTAATCAAATTTTGAATCAAATTTTATTGTAAATCGATTCGCAGAACCGTTTAGAATCGAAAAATATTCCGATTTAACTTCTTTAGTGATTAAATTGAGTTGAAAAATGCAGAATTCGGCTGAAAGTTTTGTAAGCATCATAGTAAACTAATAGATACCAAAAAGCTATTGAAAAATACTGTAGCTATTGAATTTTATACTTTTAAAGATCAACCTCTTGTATCTCGTGATCTAATGGAAGGACGAGAAGAATTGCACGGGAATGAGGAGTGGGATGATTTGAGGAGAAACCCTCCACTCGTCGCCCATCAGACCACAGCAAACGGCTGCTTATTCTCTGAAAAATGATAAGTAAAGGGATTTCAAATCAATATGTGAAAGACAGAGCAAGTCAAGGTCAGCCAACCAGACTCAGGTTTCATTTAGAAACCAGGGGAAAGCTTGAAAACTTTGATTTGATTGTAGCTTGGATCAAAGCACAACCAGGGTTCCAAAAGAAAAGCAAGGTCCCGCTTTTGACTTCCCTTGCCTCGATTTTTCTAGATTTTCAAAAATTCATATAGGGATCCTTAAAAAGACTTAAAAATGAGCAACTTTTCTTGCCTTGCCTGGAAAATTTGAGTTTGGAACATTCCTGGTTTGGAACATTGGGAACATTGGGAACATTGGGAACATTGGGAACATTGGGCTTTTGGAACATTGGACACAACCCTCGTATGAGTTTGGAACATTGGACACAACCCTCGTATGAGTTTGGAACATTGGACACAATCCTCGTATGAGTTTGGAACATTGGACACAACCCTCGTATGAGTTTGGAACATTCCTGAGCACAACCCTCGTATGAATTCAGGCTAAGCGTGGCTTTTCTTGGAATAAAAAAGTTAACATGCAAAGCTCAGAGGGTCATGTGCTTAAAGTCTTTAAGCACTTCCTGCTTAAAGAGTGATGTCACTTCTCATACTGCTTTCGTCACAAGCACTATAAGTAAAGCATAACCCAATCACCCACTAAATTGTTCGTGTAGACTTGAAGGGCCACATTTTGAAGAGGATGCGTGTTGAAGTTCAACAACGAGATCAACGCTGTTTTCACTCCTGAAAGAGAATAATGTCCCAGCTCCTAATTTAAAAAAGTAATCGTAATTTCATAGTCCAAACGTCGAAGTTTAACCTGTTGTCCCTGGTGGTGAATTCTGACTGTAGTGAAGGATGATCTTGATGTTTTTACGCTCCATTATTGAAATCGGAGACTCGGCGGCTGAAATTTTATTTTAGAAATGGATTTTTAAGATCAGTTTTAAGTTAAAATTTCGATAAACACTTACACATTTGAATCTGTTGTTCAGTGAAAGAAACAGACTCGGGCAGGCAACGCACTGGGGATGATAGAAAAGTTCCCTAAATTTTGGATATTATAAAAGCATTAATGAAATCTGTTTCTTATTACAAGACCTTTAAAATATTCAGTTAACTAATAAAAGCTTATGTTACTTGTTATAATATCGTAATATAATACTCAGTTATCATAGTCGTAACTTTAAAAGTTCGTGCTTTAATCTACAGTACTGGACAACGAAATATGATATTTGAAAAAAGATCGTCACTTTCGTCTGTAACTCTCTTGTCTTTACCGTATTTCTAGATATTAATATTACCATTGTGTAGCCCTTGAAAAGAGCTTTCAGAAAATGTATAACACTAATAGTTTAAACTCAAAGACAACGGAGTTATAGACGCGCGAAAGTGACGATCGTTTTTCAAATATCATATTTCATTGCCCAGGACTGTAGCTACAGAACTATAGAGTCTAGCTACAGAACTTTAGCGCTACAAAATTGTATCGGAGGGTTAAGAGCTGATTTAACGTTGGAAACTATCAAATACCTACATGACAAATGGGGAACTTGGAGGAATCTGCACTACTGGACAATGAAATATCAGATTTGAAAAAAGATCGTCACTTTCGCGCGTCTGTAACTCCCTTGTCTTTACCGTATTTCTAAATATTAATATTACCATTGTGTAGCCCTTGAAAAGAGCTTTCAGAAAATGTATAACACTAATAGTTTAAACTCAAAGACAAGGGAGTTACAGACGCGCGAAAGTGACGATCGTTTTTCAAATATCATATTTCATTGTCCAGTAGTGTACCATCATAGCCGAATGGTTAGGAGTCTTGTATGCTAGTCGGTGGGTCCCTGGTTCGATTCCAACGGATAGAAAATCCATGGGTATACATGAGGTTTTGTCTGTAACATAGGGTATTAGAGTTTTGTATTTGTTTTTCAAATATGATATTTCATTGTCCAGGACTGTACTTTATACCGTAAGTGCTTCAATAGCTACCAATTTTTAAAGTTAAACAAACTGGATACAAATTTATAAACTTTTAGTTTTAAAGCTTTTGAAAATCTGGGCTTACTGTAGCTAGGGCATCAAATAGAAATTTAGGGCAGGTTTAAAAATGATTGTGGGACATTTGATACGCACCCAGCCCTCTTTCCTACTGACAATTTAACTTTGAGCTCAAATATCTTGGTGTTGGGGTATTTCATTTAAATTTCTTGGTATCATTAGATGCGCCGAGTCTTTCTCTGTCAATTGGTACAGAAACTATTTAAATTGGACAGCCCAACACCAAGAAATTTGAGTTCAAAGTCCGATTGCCAATGGCAAAGGGGCGGGGCGCGTATAAAAGGTCTCCGCCCCCTTTGCCATTGGCAATCTAACTTTGAGCTCAAATTTCTTGGTGTTGGGCTATTCAATTTTAATAGTTTTTGTACCATTCGACAGAGAAATACTTGGCGCATCTAATGATACTAAGAACATTTAAATTGGATAGCTTAGCACCAAGATATTTGAGTTCAAAGTTAGTACGGTAAATTTATGCAACTCCAGCGCTTTCTTTTGACATTTAAAGCTTTCAAGACCTTCAATACATATTACTTATAACATGTATTGATTTTGATAGATTTAGAAAGCAACAACAATGAAGAAACTACAGATATTACGGTAATTAACCAGGTTATAAGTGTACTTTGTGCTCTAGCAAACACCTACTTTTTGACGCACTCAATTTCTTAACTCTTTAGTTGTTAGGGATGCAAAAAAAAGCACAAAGTACGGCTCCCACCTTGGCCTTTCCATTAACATCAGCTCGTTTTCCCATCAAAGTAAGATTACAATGATTAGAATTCAAATATTCTTTTTTAAATTGGAATGTTTGGAACAGAGTGTTTGGAATAGAATGTTTTGAATGCAAGAAAAAGATTTACATCAAATTCTCCGGAAGATGCATTGCTGATAGGCTCTAATGGACTCAAATTGAGTGGAATCGCCATTTGCGCTTTGCTCAACTCGTTCAGCGTCGGTTTCGGTTGCTTGAAACTGAAAATGGATTGTTGGGATCTTTGGAATTGGGAATTTGCGAGTTTTCGAACACAAAATACTTTGGGTAAACGGTTTTTAGTCTATGAAATCGTTTTTATTTAGAATTCTTGAGTAATTCGTTTTTTTTTGTCAGCTTTTAGCAACTATAACCTTTAAAAGATCAGAGATTTAAGAAAATTTCTCTGAGAGACTACTTTTAAGGCTTGTATTTGGTTGTCCAGTTATGAGTGCGCGTTTTTTACTATTTTGTAAACTTCTCTTAGCTATTGTCTCTTTTAAAAGATATCTCTTTCAGAAAACTACCGTAATCAGCTGCCAGTTTAGTTCAATTTGCTCAATTCTTGTATTATTGACTGAACCTCATCAAATAATACCAAAAACTGAGCTGATTGAATGAAAACTGGCTTGATTACGGTAATTTTTAGATGCCTTTTAGAAAAGAATTGAAAAGTAACGCGGTTATAGTCAATCTATTGGGTTGTCCAGTTATGAGTGCGCGTTTTTTACTATTTTGTAAACTTCTCAAGATACCGATCAAGATCAAGAAAAAGATATCTATGAGTATTATTCGAAAGCTGAAGATCTCCTCTACATTTTGATATAAAAAGTTTTTGAATTTGTCCAGCTTTTGGGCAAATTGACTGCACAGAAGAAGAGGTGGCCAAAAAAATGGAAGGGTGCCTTTGGATCAAGTTTTGGCTCCGCTCAAATTGAGTTAACCGTTTGATGTTTGGCCAATAGATATATCAATACAACTTTTTTTAAAAATATAACAATTTCAGAGCATCTTTTCTTTTCTGGGCGGTTATTTTACACTATAAAACTTGAGGAATAGCTAAGCTGGAATGGGGTTTTTTTTTTGAAAACGATCTCTCCCTTTGTGCAGTCAATTTCCCAAAAGCTGTACAAATTCAAAAACTTTATTTTTTGGAAACGAATTTATCTTAAAGTTTAACCAATTAAGTCCAAGTTCTAATTGGTAGACTCAATAAAATGACTATCTCCAATCGATTCGCCGGCCCGGAAAACTCCCGGCTACAAATTTATAGCTCAATCTCAACCCAATAAATGTCATATCGTTTCGTTTTCTATTCAAATTTTCAAATAAAAGTTTAAACTTTAAAAGTTAGACATTATAAATGTTACAAATGTTACAAAACAAACAAATAAAGAATGAAATTTTTACCTATGAGCTGGGATTGTATTCGAAAAAATGTCGTCTAGTGTTGAGAATTCGTTGAAATCGATTCCTCGTCGGTTTGGTGGTTGATTCAATAGCAATGGTCGACGTATTGTTTGCGGTGTTGTTGACTAAAAGGATACGACTTGAATTTAAAGTTATCTTAATAAAAAGAAATGACTTTAAACGTGAAAAGCTAAAGTTCTGCTTGAGTTTTGAGTAAATTAAACTTTAGAGCTTTGTAGGGGAAATCAAATCAAGTATGGAAATCTTATTTTATTAGTTACCCTATTTTATAAAAGTTAACAAACCAAAGAAACTAGACATGAGCACTAGAAAGTACAAACGCAAACTACAAGCACTTCTAACTTGTTTCAAATCTGTCAAATTGTCATGATCTATAGCTCAAAAAATATAGAATCTCAAGAGCTTTCGAATGGACTAAAGCACAGCAAAAAATATAAATTCTATAGAAAGTTACAGTGGTTTGTAGTCTGAATCGATCGCTTCGACTACAAGCCACTGTAAATTTCTATATAATCCATATTTTTCGGTGTTATTTAGTCCATTCGAAAGCTCTTGAGATTCTCTATTTTTTGAGCTATAGATCATGACAATTCGACAGATTTGAAACAAGTTAGAAGTGTTTGTAGTGTGATGGTTTGTCATTTTTGTAGTTTGTAGTGCTCATGTTGAAAAGAAACTCACCGTGCTCCCAAAGCCTATAAATGGAACGTCTTCGGGATGCCCGAGAATGTGATTCGCTGCATCGACCATTTGTGGACATGGGCCATCAATAAGAGATGAAGAAGTCGATGGAGTTGGAGAGAAAGGATATTGAGAGACACTAGGGAGATGATTGTCGGACATCTCATCACTCAACAAATCCACTCTTTGATCGCTCTTTGATTCGTAGAGGCTCGGGATCGGGATTGACGCTGAAAATTGGGGTTATTCGATCAAAACAAGTTCAGAGCCTTGGACTGTCCTTGTGCCAGCTTTCCCTGAGCCAGCTTTCCAAAGCTACCGTAATCTCTAGATCTATCTAATCTGTCTAATCTGTCTAATCTATCTAATCTATCTAATCTATCTAATCTATCTAATCTACCGTAATCTCTTAATCAATTAACTGCTGGTCTTCTTCATTAACTCTCACAGAATCAACTCAAAACTAGATAGCTTAACTCGAGCTATATTCTAGATTATTCAAAAGTTAGCACATTTTAGAAAGCACTTATTTAAAAGCATATTTAAGAGCTCAAAAGTCGACAAATTGAATAAAAATTAGAGATATGATTATAATTAGTTTTACAGAAATTTTACAGAAATTTTACAGAAGTTGACACGTTTTAGAAAGTCAATAGTCGAAATTCACATGTCCAATTTGAGTTTAAAATAACAGAAAAATGAAATTCATCAAATTCAGCCTTTATCCAATCAATTTTTTATCAAAATCAATTTCAATTCAATCAATTTGTATCAAAATTTAGAAAATCACAAAAACAAAGCCTGTCAGTCAAAAACAAAGCCTGTCAAGTGTACATTTCTACCCCCAATTTCACCTGTTATCTCATGCCTCCTCAATTTTTGCGTCTCGTACATTTGGAGAAGACGGTTTAGCTAAAAATTGGATTTTTTTTAGTTACTGTAGTTGTACTGTTGTTAGAATACAGTTGTACAGATTATTATGGGGTTTGGTTATGTGAATAGGCTGGCTTTTGTTAGTAGAATGCTTTAAGTCTTAAGAATCACTTCAATTTGTTTTCAGTTAAATTAAGGTAAAATATACGATTAAAAATGAATTACAATTAGCGAACAGTTTCTCGATTATCTTGAGAGTAGTTTAAGCAAGAGAATGCATCAACAAGCACCCATCTGAACATTTGCATTGACGGGAAAATTAACATCAAAAGCTAATTTTTGAGGGAGGTTGAACGTAGAGTTCTTGTTAAGGAAGAGTTGGAATTGAATTGGAACCGTATTGGAACCGTATTAGATCAAAATAGGAACCGTATTAGATCAAAATAGGAACCGTATTCGACCCGTATTCGAACCGTATTGGATTTTGGTCACCTTAGATCACCTTGGGATAGGAACCGTATTGGATTTTGGTCACCTTAGATCACCTTGGGATAGGAACCGTATTGGATTTTGGTCACCTTAGATCACCTTGGGATAGGAACCGTATTGGATTTTGGTCACCTTAGATCACCTTGGGATAGGAACCATATTGGATTTTGGTCACCTTGGGCCACCTTGGGATAGGAACCGTATTGTTTTGGTCACCCTGGGCCACCTTGGGATAGGAACCGTATTGGATTTTGGTCACCTTAGATCACCTTGGGATAGGAACCATATTGGATTTTGGTCACCTTGGGCCACCTTGGGATAGGAACCGTATTGGATTTTGGTCACCTTAGATCACCTTGGGATAGGAACCATATTGGATTTTGGTCACCCTGGGCCACCTTGGGATAGGAACCGTATTGGATTTTGGTCACCCTGGGCCACCTTGGGATAGGAACCGTATTGGATTTTGGTCACCTTAGATCACCTTGGGATAGGAACCATATTGGATTTTGGTCACCTTGGGCCACCTTGGGATAGGAACCGTATTCGAGCCGTATTCGAACCGTATTATATCAACATAGGACCCGCATTGGAACCGTATTGGATTTTGGTCACCTTGGGATTTCGAAATGAGATCTAGCCAATCCGATAGAAAATCGAACGGCGAATCTGAATCTGTAATCTACTGACTGGCTCTTAAATGCAAGATTTCTGGCAGTAAAGTTTTTTCTATACAAGTTTTCATCGCTTATCGCTTAGCTGAGTTTACGCTTATCTTTCAACTGCCAGAAATCTCGCACTTCAGCTATTCAGCAGATTTTGATTAGAGATTCGGATTCCCCGTTTGATTTTCTATTGGATTCCCTAGGTCTTGTTTTGAAATTCCGATTATTCGGAAATAGTTGCCCCTTTGAATCTTCCTAACTTCCTACTTTCTCCTTCAATTTTCTTTGCTTTCATTTCCTTACCCAATTCAAATCCTTCAATCGCTTTCCCAATTCTTGTAATAGTCTGAGATCTCAACATTTACATTACTCTCTTGAAATCGTGACTCATCTTTATTCTAATCAGTCTTTTTCAGTTAGATTTGGAGAGTGTTGAGTCTAACTCTTACTTTATCACTCAATATCCCTAACTTTTACGTTTCAATCGAGAAACGACAGTGTCTGAAATCAGTAGCAAAGTCTGACCGTGTCATTGATCTGTAAAATCTCTGCCAAAATCTCATCAGAGCTTTCAGCTGCCTCATTTGCGTATTTGAAGATGATGGGGCGGATTTCGGAGAGACGATCGTGAAGTTCCTGGAGATAAGATTCACTATTGAGTAAGATTATAAAAAGGATTGAATCAGATATTTACTAGACAAGATTGTCAATAGGTGTACAACGGAAAAAAGATACTTATTCGCTTTAACGGCTAGCTTTTCAGAGATAGAGTTTGAAAAATTCTACTTTAAGAAGTCTTGAAAAAGTGGTCGTTGAAGTGGTGAAATCTCGTTTTTTCATCGTACACCTATTAAGAATCAGATTGAAAATGAAGAACTTTAATATATACTATGATTTATATACTTACTGTAATATCCCCAGAGGCTCCTCCAATCCTCATCGCCGTTTCCATCATTTGACAGAGTTTCACCGTTTTGTCAAGATCATCCGAGCGTTTATTGATTTTTTCGACTTTTTGATCTTCCTGAAGTTTTTAAAAGTAAGATCTAGTCATACTGATTAAAGTTTTCATTCTACTCTCATCGTTCTCCTCTCAATTGGAGCAATTCTCCTCTTCTTTTAAGGGTCCTATTTTGTCTCGTTTGTCTCCTTGTCCTTTCCTCTCCTTTCCTCTCCTCTCCTCACCTCTCCTCAGCAATTCCACGAAACGAGCACCAGTCCCTTTCCCCCTTCCCTTCCAACCGTCCTTTTCGATGTTCAATTATCTTGTAAAAATCGAGCAGGTACTGTTGCTAGCATGCAGAAACTATGCTTTTAGCTATCAGATTTACTCTCACAAGCAGTAAGCTCAATTCTGTTCACTGAGCATGCATACGGCTTTGTACCAGCTTTTAGACTCACCGATCGAACAAGACTCTTGATCAAACGATTAGCTGTCTGAAGGTCATCGGCTTTATTACTCTAAATGAAATTGTTAGTGAGGAAAAGATTCGCTTCTTAAGTTGTTAAACTTTTCAAAATTTAGTTAAGAACAGCTTTTTCAGCTAATAATTGGTATTTTAGTAGTAATAGGGAGCTCAAGTATCGTCAAAGATTGGTAAATTTTGTCACAAAAGGATCTCGATGCGCTTGAAAGGCTTTTCAGATTTTCAAACACAAAGTAAAATTCTTGAGCGCATCAATGTATATTATTAATGTTTACTAATTTTTTTCATTAGTTACCTGTAAAAGTTCTTTCAAAAGCCTCGACTTTTCCTCATCCTCAAATACGGCGAATTTCGGTGGAGGTGGTGGGATGATCAAGACGCTTTCTTCTTCAATTGATGGATCTTCTGTGATAATCCCTCGATCTTTTAATGAGTCGTACACCTAGAAATGTGAAATCTTTTGAAATCTGGTTTCTTCGTTCAAGTAAAGTGTGCTTCTTTTAAGCTCCGTTTAAAAGATCCGTGTTTAAACCGTTTTTAAATCATACCAGCTTTATCGTAATCTTAGCTCTAGCTTTATTCAATCTATCTATTCTGATTTGACGATTTGACGATCCCTATTACTACTAAAATACCAATTATTAGCTGAGAAAGTTATTCTTAACTAAATAGAATCAGAATAGATTGATTGATACGAAATAGATAGATTGATAGAATCAGAATAGATAGATTGATAGCCAAGATTACGATAAAGCAGGCAGGATTGACAAAAAATATATAAACTACCAAAAGAAGCTAGTTTTGAATAAAGTATAAGCAAGATTATAAGCAAGGGAAGTTGAAACGTTAAAGTTATAAGCAAGAAGTTAAAAGGTGGCCAACTAAAGCTAAAGTTTGACCAAAGCCGTACTTCTTTAAATTTCTCCAAATGTCCCATCGATTTCTGCCATGTGTACAGCATTATTGTGGCTTGGTATTTCACCTGAAAAGTTTTTTAGAAAAACCAAAATGAACTGCAAAACCTTTTCTGATGTTTCTTTGCCAAGATATTTTGGTGTTAACAATCGAACGAGCTGATTTAGAAAGCGAAATTTGCCAACTCGAGTGTGGATTTTTGCTCCACATCGTCGAACCAAGAGATCGATGGCCTAAATGGTTAAGAATTTTGAGAGTTTTTATATTTTAGATCTATCACAAGTATTAGAAACTCTTTCGAGTGTCACAATGAGCTGAAAGATTCAAAATTTTGAGTTTATCTAGACTACCAAGTGTAAATAATCTAAGGGAACAATGAATAATAGTAAATAATACAAGTAAATAGTAACTGATATCAATATAATATCCTTATAATCATTCTAAGATAATCCATCTAGATTTTAACAAACAAACATACAATAGTTTTTGTTGCTTTATTGATTTGCTCTTTAGAAAAGATTTGTCTTGTTTGGTACACGTTTGCTAAAGAGAAAGACTCATCAATGATGACGAGGCAAAGAAAGCAGACAATCCAATTCATTTTATCTAGTTTAGATCTGTAGAACCTGTAATTGGATTTGGTTCCTTTCGTTACAGATTTGGTTCATTTACGAAACAGCTTTGGTTTCTTTTTTCTACAGATTTGGTTCCTTTTCGGTACAGATTAGGTTCATTTACGGAACAGCTTTGGTTCCTTTTTTCTACAGATTTGGCTCCTTTCGTTACAGATTTGGTTCAATTACGAAACAGCTTTGGTTCCTTTTTTTCTAAAGATTTGGCTCCTTTCGGTACAGATTTGGTTCATTTACGGAACACCTTTGGTTCCTTTTTGGCACAGATTTGGTTCATTTACGGAACAGCTTTGGTTCCGTTTTTCTACAGATTTGGATTTGGTTCCTTTCGTTACAGATTTGGTTCATTTACGGTACAGATTTGGTTCATTTTTTCTACAGTTTTTTCGGTACATATTTGGTTCATTTTTGCTACAGATTTGGATCCTTTTCGGTACAGATTTGTTTCCTTTTCCGCACAGACTTGTTTCCTTTTTGAGTACAGATTTGGTTCCTTTTTTCCACAGATTACATAACTTTTACATTGCTTTATTTAACTTTAAACTTTAAAATACAATACCTGTAGTGAGTAGAGACTCTCATCTTGATTTGGACTCGCGATTTTGTGTCCCAATTGACTCACCGCCAATTGCGCGCCCTCTATCTGTAATTTTTTTTCAACTTTCCAAGGGCTTAAGCATTCTTTCTCAATCATTCTTTTAGAATTTTAAGGTACTAGCCCATTTTTCTTAAGGTATTACCTCGAAATTCACAATCTCACAGAGCTTTTCAGCGAATTTTCGCCTCTCCCCGTCGTTTACATACGGATCCGTGGATTTAGCTGAATATTTTAAGAGTTATTTTTAAAAATCTACTCACCAATGAAGTATTCAATCGGTTTTTCCTTGATATCTGTGGAAATTGACATAAGGAAGGCACTGAAATGAAGGAAAATGATCAAGTACTTGCTTAGAATCACAATTTACAGTTAAATTTAGCTTAATTTAGCAAATTTAGCAAATTCCCAGTCGTCTAAACATTTGCATTGATGGGAAAATTAACATCAAAAGCTAATTTTTATCCAATTTTTGTTTAGCGATTGATATTTCGTTCAAAATTAGTTCAAAATAAGATTAGAACCAAGATTTTTCACTTTTAAAGATTATAAACGTTATAGAAGACTAAAAATCTATGATGTGAATAGGAAAAGAAAAAAAGAACATGAATGGAGAGGAATTTTCTGGGACTAAAAGCGGGACTCACCCCCGGCTTCAGCACAACGAAATCAATAGGGCCCACCCACTCACTCTCCCTCTTTTTCTTCTTTTGCTTTTTCACCTCAAAAAGCCTCCGTGGGCAGATGAAGTGAAAATGGAATGGAATGACACAAAAGTTTCTGTTTTTTTTGAACAAATTGGAAGCTTATAGACTTTGAAAAGGTCGGGCTCAAGAAAAATTTGAAAAAATTCGATTTCAAGGTTCTTTTTGTTTCCTTAATAACTTGGATAATTTTGAGAAATATGGGGAAAGCTCAAAATGAATAGAAATTAGAGCTGAAGATACAGTGTTACAAGGATAATTTGTTCTTTGATAAGACTTGAAAAGTCGAGACTTTTTGAAGGGACTTGAGATTTCTGGTATTGGTATCTTTGAACTCTGTAGTTT